AGAAATATACGAATCAACTAGCCAACAACTATTTCCAAATATAAAGTCGAATGTTTGATGGATCCAATAATGCGAGTTATAGAGCATATAATAATGAAAGAACGTCCATATAATATTAATAACCGAACCACTTTTTTTGTTGAATGTGAACGTACAATAATTGATTTCTACTATATATATATATATATATATGCAGCAAAATAATCATGCTGCTTTAAAAAAGAATGCATCATCAGTCTCATACAAATTAAAATAGATGTATAAGTAACAAGAAGTAACTATTTTTTGAAATTGTCAATATAGATTCATTTATCACAATGTTTTTACTTTGGATATCACGAACTTAACTATTTCAGTATATATATTTGTTTGTTGTGAACTGATTAATAGGTAATCTATTAGCTAAAATTAAAGAGAAAATTACAAGTGGTTGACAAAAAAAAAAAAAAAAAAAAAAGGAAATACAAAATATCGGCACCGTCAAGAAGTGTATAATAGACCTGACCGCACACGTGTGGCTTTTTGTACTTGTCATCAGTTTTTGCTTAAAATGGTTTAAATTAAATAAAAGAAAAGAAGTCGAATCCGTAATATAAAAGTGAAGGCAGGGGCAAATGTATATAGTACATGGATTTTGCTAAGATCTTCTTGTCTTCTTGAAATCTTTTTTATTTCAAAATAGAAAATAAAGGCAACTTGTGTGTTGCTGCCCCTAAAGAAAAATAGATTTATGTCGTGTAGCGACGACAATGAACATAATACGGACGAGAACCTCTGGCCGGAAACCTCCACCCCCATTCGGCCCATCTTTCTATTTGATAGATCTCTTCCCTTTTTTTTCCTTTTTCTTTTGTAACATTTTTCTTACGACAAATGATTTACCAACAAAAGATATTCATTTATTCCTTATTCTTCTTATACAATAAATTAAAGAGAAAAAAATAAAAAAAAAAATTAAAAGAGGTGGTCACGGGAAACCCAAAGGGACAGTACATTTTATTTTATTTTACTTTATGACAGACAGCATTGTTTCTTTTTTTTTTTTTTTTTTTTTTTTTTTTTTTTTTTTTAAAATTACTTAATTTCCATTAAAAAAAAAAAAACATACATAGCCCGAAGGCCCATGACGGCCACAAGGCCCAACAAAAAACTTAAAAACAACAAACACAACCCATAGGCCCAGACGACCACAAGGGGCAAACAAAAAAAAACCAGAGCAAAAAACGGGCCCAAACCCAAAAAAAGCAAACCAAACCAGCATTGAGCCAGCACGAACACCAACCTGACGCCTTTAAGGATCCTGGAAAAAAAAAAACCAAGTTACCAAGAGGGAAGATCCGAGAGGAACAGACGACTGAGCCCTAGAGATAGGATCCAGCCTCGCTCTGATGATCAATTGTATTTCTTTAATAATCAGCTGAGGAGTTCTGAAGAAATCGGAATGAATTCGCTCATTTCGCTCTCTCCAAACAAGATAGATCGTTGCCTGAAAGATGAGTTTGATGATAAGAGACAAATTCCTGGATGTAGTGGCAGTCTTTAACCAGAGGAGAGCATCCATGAACTGATTTGGAGGAGATAACCCCGCTCTAGTCATAAAGAATCTCCAGACCGCACCACTATACTCGCATTCGAAAAACAAGTGATCGCGAGATTCATCTCTGGTATTACACAGAACACACAGAGTTGGTGTAATCAAACCCCAACTAGACAATCTGTCCCTCGTATGCAAACGGTTCCAAGCAACCACCCAGCAGATGAAGGCATGCTTTGGCACCCTATCTTTAAACCACACCGAGTTATGCCAAGGAACAACAGCCCCATTAGGGTTAAGAGCTAACCACGTCTTAGCCGTAGAGAATACATTCGACGGAGCATGATTATCCGGCTTCCAAAGATAGACATCATCCTGTAAACAATCAATCATACTTTCGACATCCGGGAGGACCCTCTTGATTAAGTTGATGGTTGGATTTCTGCTGCGGCTCGAGGAAATCCACCAATCTCTTCCTCGCAGGCCGTCCCGCACCACGGCATTTATAGGCAGCCCAACAGAAGAAGGACCATTACTTCCAGTCAACTCGAGAAGGGGGCCAAGACCTGTCCAATTGTCATGCCAGAAACTCGCAGTGACTCCTGAACCAACATCACACACAAGGAAAGGCCTAGCCAATGGCCTTAATTTGCATAGTTTTCTCCAAATCCAACTGCCAGAGTTAGAAGGATTTAATTCCCAGAAGTTTCTGTGTCTAATCAGATTAATCCTCACCCAAGAAACCCATAAAGAACCCGCAGCTGTGAAAATAAGCCATATCAATTTTAAAGCCAGAACCTTGTTCCATGCAGCTAATCTCCGGAGGCCAAGACCACCACATTCTTTGGAAGTACACACAGTTTCCCAAGCAATCTTAGCACCTCTAGCCGAATTAGGAGCCCCCTTCCATAAGAAGGCGTTGCACATCTGCTCAAGCTTGAGAATACACTGATTTGGTAATAAGAAAATAGACAGCCAGAAATTAATAGTAGAGTATATCACAGATTTCAATAACTGAAGTCTCCCAGCGAAGGAAAGATGCCTCGCAGTCCAAGAGGAGAACTTGCTGTTAATTCTATCAAGGAGGGGCTGATAGTCCACTTTCTTCATTTTTTGCGCACTAAGAGGGACCCCTAAGTATCGGACAGGCAAGGCGCCGTGCGTGAGACCAAAACTCTCCGAAATTAAATTGTTCCTCTCAAAGTCTCCTCCATCAAGAAGCAGCGCAGTCTTACTCAAATTAATTCCCAGACCAGAACCTTTCTTGAAATCCTCCAAAATATTAAGAATCCCACCAATAGAAAAATCAGAGCCATCAAAGAAAACCAACACATCGTCCGCGAAGCTAAGATGCGTAATCAGAGGAGCGAAGCATCGAGGATGAGGAACAAAAAGCCCATTGACCGCTCCTCGATCCAAAGACTTGGCCAATATATCCATAACCAAGACGAAAAGATGGGACGACATAGGATCTCCTTGCCTTATTCCTTTCTTACCTTGGAAAAATCCAACAAGCTCTCCATTTAAGGCAATGCTATAAGAAGGAGTAGTTATGCAAACCTTAATCCAAGAGATGAAAATAGGAGGCAGATCAAGGGCAACAAGAATGTTGATTAGGAATTCCCAATTCACATTATCATAAGCTTTCGTGAGGTCTATCTGTAAGCAGCCTCTAGTTACTTCCCCATTGAGTTGAAAATTCTCCACTAATTCGGACGCTAAAAGGATATTTTCACATAGCAGACGTCCTTTAATGAAGCCTACTTGATTTCCTTGAACAGCCTGAGAAATGAATAGCTTGAGTCTCTTAGAAATTAGACGGGTTATGACTTTGTAGATGGTGTTACAACATGCAACTGGTCTAAACTGAGCCAATTGGTCTGCTCCAATCTCCTTTGGAATAAGAGTGATGGCCGTTGTATTAAATTTCCGGAGCAAGTGACCTGTTCTAAAAAACTCCTTAACCGCAGCGAGAGTACAATCTTTTACAGCTTCCCAAGCATCCCAAAAGAACTCAGCCGGAAAACCATCAGGCCCCGGAGCCTTGTTTCTAGGCATGGAGAAGATAGTTTGGATGATTTCTTCATCAGATGGAATGGCTGAGATTTTTTCAGCAAGAGCCTGATCACACCTGAAAGGATGAAGAGACCTGATACTATCCACAGAGAAGGGAGTAACATTGTCACTAGCCGACCCCAAGAGATGAGTGTAGTACACCTCCAACATACCCTTTATCTGATCAACATTCTCAACTCTGACCCCATCCTCTCTTCTAAGATATTTGATCAGATTTTTTGCATGGTGAGCCAAAACCGCCTTGTGGAAAAATCTAGTATTAGCATCTCCCTCCTTAAGCCATTTGATACGAGATTTCTGTCTATAAAAAGACTCCAATGCAACCGCAAAGAAATCCCACTTCTTTCTAGCAACATGCTCCTCCCTGAATAAGGAAGCAGAAGGGTTAGTCATCATCATGGATTGGATATCTTCTAGGGCAGTGAGAGCCTCTTTAGTGCGCTGTTGCAAGTTACTAAAACCCTGCCGATTTAGCAACCTACACGCCTTTTTTGCTGCCTTGAGATGTTCACCAAGCGTAAACATTGCAGAACCAACTGTAGTCTCAGCACTCCAGGCGTTTTTGATGATGCTCATGAACTGAGGATGAGAAGCCAAGAAGGAAAAATATTTGAAACATTTCTTAGAGACTGCCAGTTGATTGTCAAGTTGGATGATGCAAGGGGCATGGTCTGAGTCGCCTGGTGGATCAAAGATAGCAGTAGCACTTGAAAATGTAGAAAACCATTCTCCATTAGCTATTACTCTGTCCAGTTTCCTGATTATAGGATTATCGGGCTGGTGATTAGACCAAGTGTAGAACAGACCTCGGGAAGGTATGTCCTCCAAATCATTGTCCCTCAAGCAAGATTGAAAGTCCTCAAGTCCCCTCAGCGACGAATTTGAATGAATAATTGAGTAATGTTCATTTAAAGAAGCAATCTGGTTGAAATCCCCTGCCAAAATCCAAGCCGTTTCACACAAAGGAGAGGAAGCAGCCAACCTAGAAATGTCTTCCCAAAGAGGTCTCCTCTCCACCTCTGTATTTCTTCCATAAACAAAAGTAACAGCAAAGGACTGCAAGATGTTAGGTATCTTAATAGAGCACATCATCAACTGATCAGTCCTGCTGAACACCAAAACTGAAACTGACGGATCCCACACAACCCAGATCCTCCCAAGTTCAGAGCAACAATAATTACTATCCATCCGCCATCCCGGCAAAGTTGCAGCCAAAACAGCGCTAGCATTATTCTGAGCCACATGAGTTTCCAAAAAACAACCGACTAAAAGATTATTTGAAGCCACCCAGCTTCTAACAACACGTTGACGAGAACGGCTATTTAAGCCTCTTATATTCCAAAAAAATATCGTCATATATATAACAAAAGGTTTTGTGAAAGCCCTGCTTTCAGATAAGAGACGGTTCAATCGGGACTTCATCCCGAACCGCTGTTTGAGCTATCAGATTTGCAGACCGCACCCGATTATGCCAGATCTTTAATTGTTTTTTCTTTGACTTATTTGACAAACTGTCCCAGTCAGGAGGGAAGGGAAAAGCAGGAACCTGAACCTTGTCTATTTCTGCTTTACTCTCCACTTTCTCCACCGGCATTTGATTCTGAACCACTAACTTCAGACCCTCAACAGGAATGGGCTTACTACTGGATTGGATATGAGAAGTAGGCTTTATATCCGACTTCGCTACCCACTTCAGCTTTGCTCCAGTAGCCGTCCCCGAACTATTCTTTGCCTTAGGATCAAGTAATGGTCCAATCAACTTTGGCGGCAAACTAGAAGAACGCTTCTTGGACCGAGAACGTCTCCTTTTGGTTTTTGATGAAGCAGCTTCACCCTTCGAACCCTCATCAACCCCCAGGTTACCAACAGTCCTTTGTGAAGGATTAAGAGAGATAGTAGGATGATTAATTTCCTTAGACCCTGCAGGCTTGACTTTCTTGTAAGGGAGTTTTTTCTGCAGTGGTTTTGGACATCGACTCAGCAAATGACCATATCTCCCACAGTTCAAACACTTCGGGGGAGGTCGAGGATACTCCACCTTAACCTTAGCAATATTACCTTGCACATCCCGAACAACAACAGTAGAAGGCAAGGTCGACTCCAAGTTTATAACCACCTTCACCTTTGTGAAACCAATGTTTACCGGGTCCAACCAGGACTTCTCCGTATGCAGTGGCTCGCCTATACCGCTAGCAATCACACTGATTCCTTCTAATGAGTAAAGCTGAGGAGGGACATTCCTTAAAATTGCCCAAGTTGGAGCAGTCTGAAGCTCCTTTATCTCGAGAGGACCGTCTGGGGACCAATGATAACAAGTACACGAACAGTTACCTGCTTGCCAAAACCCAATGTCCACAACCCACTGTCTCGTATTTGGCGAAGGTATGTAGATGAGCGCTGCAGTGTCGGAGAAAATTCTGACCGTTATGTTACCAAACTTACCCCAAATCGGATTCAAGTCGGTGAATATCTTCCCTGGAGGAGGACATAAGCCATGAAACTGGGCAACAATATGTCCTTTCCACATCGCAGCCGATTTCAAAAGGACTGAAGGAGGAGCCACCACTACTGGTGTACCATCTTCAAGGAAGGAAGGAGGATCCATCTGTTTCAAGTTTCTGAGGGAAGCTTTAAACTTAGAAGCCCACGGAAGATCAATTGAGGAAGGAATCGTCTCAGCCAACAGAGGTAGGCTGCTTGAGGAATTGTGAACATCAATTGGAGATGCATTGCTTGGAGCCACAGTGGAGGAGATCTCAGACACTAGGCAAGAAGCCGAAGACATACAATCCTTTGATTCGGGAAGCTGAGCAGATTTGCCCTTAGCCTCAACCAAATCGGCTGGAACTTGAGGAATCGAAACTGAAGTGAAAATCGGAGACCCCAACGAGACCCCAGGAGACGGAGTAAGCTCACTCTTCATCTCAACTGGATTAGGAGAATCCGCAGCCACAACCGAAGGAGAGAAGGACCCATCGATGACCGGAACAGAAGTCCTTTCATCTTGAGAACCCGACCCCGAAGAACAAGCTAGAACGCGAGCGAACTTAGAAGGAACAGAAACCCGAACAGACCTCGAAGACTTTTTCTTCTTTGGCATTGGAAGATTCTCATCTGCCGGCGGGGGGCCGGCCGACGGCGGCGGCTGCGCGATTAGGGTTAAGAAAATCTAATCGCAAAAAGGTTCTCCAGAGAGAGAAAGCTCCGTTTGATATCCTTAGTATCGACAGCATTGTTTCTTCATATGTGTATGTTCATTATTCACGAATCACTTGATTCACAACAAAAAATATATATATAAAAGTGTCATAATATCATACCAATAAAAAAAAAAAAAAAACGTGCTTCAGAGTCTGAACACATTACCACATTTTTTGGTATCTCCTATATGGCTATATTCGACCTTCCTCTCTTCAGTGTTAACATCCATGTTGAATATTTTATCAAGCGACTGGCTAATTAGAAAAATAAACTTAAACACGTACTGACACAACTTGACACTTTTTTTTTTTTTTTTTTTTTTAACAATTACAAAATGGTTCCGTGAATTGGGGCCTTCTAGCTGCTCTAAATACTATTAAATCTACGTACGAGCCTATATAAAAGGGTCCTCAACATTTATATATCTGTCTTGCCCTGAGAGTCTGAGATGATTCATGTGGTCTCTAACCTCATTACTTGCAGACTCTATTAACGACGGCCCATATCAGGCCTGTATTATTAGGGCCCGTCTAATTATGCTTGATATAGCCCATCGGTATTTAACCACTACATCCCCTCCCCTGCCTGCATCTATGGTTGGTTTGTTTGCGATTAGAGTGTATATATATATTTTCCTGTGTTTTTACAAATACATGAAGAAATCATTTCACAGGATAAAGCAAGAGTTCAATGGCTTCCCAGAAACCTTTCTCGATTGAAAGATGAGTTTGAGTTCAAAATCTAAGGTAAACTGTAACAAAACTTGATAATTTATTTTAACTTGGCGCAGTCCAGTTAATAAAATTAAATAGAAAGCAAATGGCCTTATAGCAATAACAATAACATTGCCTCTACAAGACGCATAGAGCCACCACGAGATAAGGAGTCTTCAAAATGATAGATAAGGAGTCTCGATGCCTGCTTGGTTAAGTTTGTATGTTGAGGCTGATAAAGCCTTTGTTGTATTAAACATTGGATGAATGTTAGGTTGAACTTGAGCACCAGAACAAAAGAAAAAAAGAAGAAGCACAGAACCAGTATTGATGCTTTTGAGTTTTTGATTCAGATCGTAGTAATCTGCAAATTTATGATATTATTCAGCCCTCCAAGTCCCTCACTCTCATGACACAAAGAAAAAAAAAGTTATCAACTCTCTCTCTATCTTTCACATATCTGCAGGCGAGAAAGGTTATGACTAGAAATACAAATACCCCCACCAAAATAAAAAAAAAAAAAAAAAAAGAGATGCAGAAGAAGCAGAGAACTAAAAGAATAATACAAAAGTAGATGATGCTGTGACAAAATCAATATAGCAAAAAAAAAAAAAAGAAAGAAGAAAAGAGCGCTAGGTCTCCATTTGATCAAGAAGCATCTCCTGGTACCTGCACTCGCTGCTGCAAAAACCTTTCTCTCCTCTGCACCATAACCATATTGTAGTTAAGTTTAGTTTTGGAACTCTATGATCTGATAAAAGTCAAACATCTATGTATAAAGATTGTGGACGGACCTGTATATATAGATGTCCTGTTTCTGGTCAAGATTCTTCTTGCAGGTGTAGCAATAGCTTAGAAAACTATCCGTGCGCTTGGTCTCCATAGCTGGTGGTGGGTGTAAAGGAACAGAGCAAAAAGGAGTAGCCTCCACGAAAACAGAGTTGTCGAAGATATGAGTGATGGTTGGGTTTGGACCGTGGGATATGACGCGCGTGTAGTCCTCCGTGTGGTCAATCTCGCTCACGGCTAAGACCTTCGTTTGGACACAAGGACTGAGTTGTCCCTGTCCATGACCAGGATATCTCATGCCGGTTTTAGTTCCAAAATCAGCTGATGGGATCTGGACTCTGAGCTTCGACCCGAAAAGGACCATCTTGTTGACAGGTTTCCTCGAGTGGTCTCTGTTACTGTCTGCGTACTTGACGAGATCGGCGAGGCCAAAGACGTCTGCTGTGTGAAAACGTTGGGGATTAGGGATAGTGGGCTCGAAATAGGAAACGGGTTTAGGGATTTTGGAGGAGAAGATGGATGGGTTAGCTTCGAGGATTGACGTAGGGCTGACGAGGGAGAAATCAGAGTCAAAAGGAGTACTCATCATCTTTGAAGTGAAAAACCTAAACTTTGGAGAGCAAAAGAGAGATGATGAGCAGTGGCAAGTGCTAGGCTTTGAAGATGGGGGTTGATCAGCCATTAATAGAGATGTTTGTTTCTTGGTCACGGCAGCTCTAGGTTTGTTTCTAAGCATAGTTAAAGACAGGTGAGGGTAAGGATCATAACTCAGTAGCTTCCATGGAGAGAGGAAAGCAATGAGGATTTGAGTGTGTTCGTAAGAGAAAATATCTAAAATGAAAGAGAGATAGAGAGAGTGAGAAGAATAGAGAGAAGAACTGGTACAATTATTGGAAAATTCTGACTGCTTCTGGTCTTAATGGGGTCTATCCCTCACACTCCTATGAAATGATTAAAAGTTGCTTTCACTTATCTCTTTTCTATCTTCTTTATTCCAAAGAGTGAGTGAGAGAGAGAGAGTACTGATGTCGAGAGAAGGGGACGTTGTGGATTTAACCAAGAAATGCATGCAACTTTACCGATTTACCCCTTACATTTATTAGCACACAGAGAGATTGCTCTCATTCATTTCAATAATATTCGATACATTATTCATATTAGGGACCGTATATGTAACTCTATCGTACTTTATTTTTTTTCCGTCTTGGATTAACAACATTCATTTTGGGTCGACAATAAAAGATTGGAAACATCTTGCAGGATAATCGAATTTGATTAGGTACACTTAACGGCAAAACATTCATTATTTGTGCATTGATGTTTGGGCCTCTCTGAAAACACAGGCTTTCGTTTTTTTTCTTTTCATTTTTCTTTATTCTGAGTTATTTATTTCTTACAATTTGTATCCATTATTATATACAGCATTTTGTCATTATTTCGTTTGTCTTTCTCAAATCATAATTCACTTTTATTTGGATTTCTTGTTTTATTAATCAAAGAATCAGTGACGTTATTTAAAAATGTAGGAACAATAATCAGTGAATAATGTACATGTTAATCTTTACTACTAAAAAACAGTTGCGTGTATAAAACACAAATGTAATCAGAGAGGGCCCACAGTTGCACCTGCTTTGCTTAATCCAATAATTAAGATCTAGTTTTAAGCGCCACGTGTGCTTGTCCACCAATAAACGTTTGATTGAATGGTCTTGATGCGTTTTACTCCATTACAATACAAATGGAGTATACAATAATAACCACTAATTTGACCAAGAAATTATATAACTCGTCGATGCCAATTGCAATGCAACTACTTTTATTGTTGTTGATCTTGTTTTTCTCGAATCCCATCTAACTATCGCATTTTTATTGTTTAAACTCGTCAACTTCTGAATAATTCTAAAAAAAATTTAAGCTATCTATCATACATAACTAATAAATTTGTTTTGTTTTTTTTTTTTAACGGATGATAGATACCAAGATTGGAGAAAAAAAGGAGTTTCAATTTGCAAGATTATGTATAATCAGCCACGTAATTGAACCTAAAAATAATAAAATGGTCATTGTCAACCATTAACCAACGCAAAAGAAAACATATATAATTGTTAGTAGGGAAAGAAAAGTAATGTATTCGGAGATAAGAAAAAACCCGTTAATACTATAGTAGTGATATTTGTTTATTACGATAGAGGAAGGAGTTAGTGATAGGCCCGTGGGGCTAAGGATGATGTAGACAGGAGTGTGTAGCCGTGTAGGTCCTCTCCTCCTCTACGGTTTTCGCTATTCTATTTACGTTGTGATCATATTGGGCTTTTCTTCTCTACTAGTGGGCCCCTGGTCGATTTGAGCTTTTATTTTATTTTTATGATTGTTTACCAAATAAATTTTGTGTGTGTGTGTGTGTGCGTGTCTTGTTTTCATGCCTCAAGGTCTTCTTGCCTCAGTTGGTGTTCTCTTTTTCTTTTTTCGGATAAATCTAATTTTATGAATAGACAGAATAGCGCGATTCGATTAAATTTCTTACAAATAAGAAGAAACAAATAGCGACTACTCACTCATCCATCTATGCCAATTGAATGTGTAAATTTGTTTTTTTTTTTTTTAAAGTTATGTAATGAGTGTGTCCATCGATTCCGTAATTGTTTCTGTAACCCATTCGGTCAAACAACTTTGATCCCTTAATCACTACTACTACTACTACTACTACCATAAGCATACGTATATGCTTACCTCCCAATCCAATAGACGTGACTATTTAAAGATTGATTTTCTTCTAAATCACCTGACGTAGAGCTTAGAAAATAGTAGATATTGGAGTGGAATTAGCACAAATCATTCATTTGATTCGATATTAAATATTTATATTTCTTTCCCTTTCATGATTTCTTTGATGACTCGCCATCTTTAATCTTGGTTATTATTAATTCGAAAGTGGCATCGAAAGCATATGATCTAGCTAATGAAGGAGAGGTCCCTTTTCTTAAATCATTGCTTCTTTGTTTATCATGTCTTAAATCCGAATCAATAATCATCACTCTTGAACTACAGAATTGTAGAGCTTGAATACCAAAAAAATTTATTTGTGTTAATGACCAAATATCTACATGTTCAAACCCATATTGCTCTTTTTGATTGTGTAAGCCCAACACTAAATAATCCCGACATATATATAGCCCAATCAATAGGACTAATAGAGCAAACCCATATCAATTAAATTTTCCGATTGATTTTTTATTTTTTTATTCTTACTACAAAATAATCTTTTATTAGGACATGGATTGATTGTTTTAAGAACTAACTGTATACTACAATAATACAAACCAGGCTATATATGTCATGGTAAGTTTTATCTATATGTAATCTGCTTTGATGGTATTTTCTCAAGACATAGCTGCTGCCATTCCTTTATTTTCATTTCTCAAAAGAGATTTAAAAACAATAAGATAATCAAAACATTTAACAAACAAGAAGAAAATCAAAGACATACAAAACAAAACGAAAAAAGAACAGAAAGACGTCATCCTGAAGCCACATTCCCATCAGATTGTCAACTGCGTGCAGCCAAGGATCGTCCCACGACACCTTGTCATCGGGGCCACCCTCCGCCACGCCGGACGATCATTCCCAACTGTCAAAACATCAACGTCTGACAACGGTTTGATGTCCCAATTGAGCCTATCAGGTCCAATCACTCCTCCTACGATCAAAACCTCTTCGCTCAAACTCGTCATAGCCATACCAATCCTCCGCTTAAACTCTGAGGCCGATGCAACCATCTTCCACGTGTCACCTTCTTGCTTGAACACCAGCCCATGGCTCATCACGTAAAGCACGTCCTCAACAACCGCCATTGGACCTTGCGGCCAGCCATAGTCTTTCACAGCCCATCCGAGTTTAACGCTCTCAAGAACCTGCACCGTCGATAAGCCCTTGTGCAGGACGTGAACTTTCCCGTTTACCACTAGACCCGAGCAGGCAGAGTTATGTGTCCGGTGGAGATCTGGGATGGATGTCCAGGCGTCATTCTCAGGATCATACATCTCTGCTCCAGATATGGATTTCCTGCAAGTAGTGAAGCCACCAGCAACAACAATCTTCCCTTGAAGAACGCAACAGGCAAACATAGCACGAGGCAAGAGCATCGGTGCGAGAGGAGTCCATCGTCTCAGTACAAAGTCGTAAGACCAGACCTCATCGGTTGCAAAGGTGCCGTCGTGATCCCCGGTTAAGGGATTGACAGCATCGCTGCCTCCGCCTAAGACAAAGAGCTTCCCGGGGGTAGTGACGGCACCGAAATGGGCAAGGTGGCGGATTCTGGAAGGAAGGAGAGGGAGAGTGAGCCAGCGATCGCAGTTGGGACTGTAGACTTGCCAGATGTTCTCAGGGTCGAAAGCACAGACGCAGAGGAGATGCTCAGATGAGCGGACCTCTTGACGGACTCGGAAGAGCTCAGCACTGCGGATAGCTGCTCGCCAGGAGCGAGACACGAGTTCTAAATTGGGATGAAGGTGTAAAGGCACATGAGCGAGGCATCTCAGAGCCACTGCGTCTGGAATACTTTCCAGCAGCCCAGACATTGTTGTCGCTACAAGAAACACATTGATTGATCTCATCAGATACAAGAAATTCAAAGCGTATAAAGTTGGGGGATCGATAATGTGTGAAGTAAAGCTGCGAGAAACTTTTTTCACCGTAAGACCTAAATTCTTCTCTCTTTCTTTCTTTTTCACAGCAAATAATCGATTTCAAATTGGATTAAAATAAAACCCTAAAAATTTGAGGCGAGAGAGAGAGAGAGAGAGATTGGGGTCCGACCAGAACATTTAATCGAATCCAATGCAAAGCGAAGGAGAACAACATATGGGGAAACTTAGACACTGGAGTCGAATTACAAAGAAGAAGTCGCACGCTCAGAGAATTATTAGCATAATAAACCGATTTGGGGGTAATTTACCTGAAGCGCCACAAGAGGGAGGGAGATTGATGAAACGCCAAGGAGATTCTGATATCTCTGGAGAAAGTTAGCCTTGTGATTTTGCCGGAGAGACAGAGACGAGAATCGAATCGAATCGAGGTTAAGGAACAACAAGCAAGGAGAGAAGAAGAAGAAGAAGAAGGTGCTTGCTTGTTTTAATGAAGAAGCAACGTCGTTTTATTACTAAACCGATAATCATCATCCCGTTTCTTTCTTTTGCCCCTTACCGTCTTTTTTCCACAAAAGAATATCAATCAAAACGTTTTTCTTTTCATACAAATATTCTTTACGTTCACATGTGAGAAATTGACACCAAGCTTGTAGAAAACAAACATACAATATTCTCTATTTTGGTATTTTAATAAATCTCATCCTTCTTCTTTTTTTTTTTTTTTTTTTTTTTAAATAGATAAGATACCAACCAAAGGCCCAAAAAAAAGCACGCAAGCCCAACATATATGGCAAAAGCCGAAACAGGCTCGCATGCCTAACATACATGGCAAAAGCCGAAAAAGACTCGCAGGTTCAAGATAGAGGAGACTGAAGCACAAACGCTAACATACCGAAGGGAGAGCCGGAAGACCTAAGAAAAAACCACCTGATACAGACAAGAAAAAAGATCACTGGAAGATGGAAAACCATGTAGCCAACAGAGTTAACGCCAGTGGAATGGAAGGCTACTCCCTAGATAGAGGATCAAGACGCGCTTTGACTAACATCTCTAGATAAAGGGATAAATCTCATCCTTGCTAACATCAAATAATACATATTTTACTTCTGTCATTTGTTATTTTTTACAAGCACATCATCCGATATCAAATTCGCTTACTTCAATAAAATGCTATTTCATTCTATTTACTTCAAAATCTTATACATATGTTATTTATTTTTAAAATTTTGTTATTTTCGATGCAAGTAATTACTCTTAACAATGCTTAAAAAAATAAAACGATTAACAGTGAAATAATAGTAGATAGTTGAATAAAAACTGAATGCAAAAGTAATTAAGCTACCCGGTGTGGGTTAGAACTTAGAATAGTAGAGTCAAATTATGGTTTAGTTTTTCAGTCAAAAGATATAAAAGTCAGCAAATCTTTCAATATTAGAATCTTAAAATGACTAATATACAGTGATACTAATTTTGTTCTTGCATACCACCAACTAATGTACAAAGATAAACCAAATTTGAATAAAATTTCCAAAATGCATAGATGAATAAAGGGAACACTAGAGTGAAAATGGAAAACTGCTATTCAGAAATTGGTATCCAAAATCAAATGGGGGGAGACTTCATCAGCTTAGGCTACAAAGCCCATTAAAGAAATAAAAAAGGCTATAAGGTAAGAAATCTTGTATTCAAAAGACTCGAAAAATACACGTGTGGACTGTTTGACCCAAAAAAACAATACACGTGTGGAACTTTGTGCGTACGGTACACGTGGACGCAGAGGATCCTTACCCAAAAAACAAGAATGGAGTAATAAATTAGTTTTGATGACGCGTCTATTTACTGAATCATAATTGGTCCACATAGGAAATCCACCGTGGTCCCCACAGTGCCTATATATATATTGAGAGAGGCTCATTGATTTGACGGCTCTTTCTCGCTTACCAAAACTTTCTCACTTGTCTCATAATAAACCCAAAAAATCAGGGAATTTCCCAAAACCCTAATTTCTCACTCGAATTGCCTACCCTCCTCTCTCAATAGATGACAGATCTAATGGTTCCGAGAAAGAGACCGCGAGCGCCAAGCTTCTCCGATAAGCATCCTGATGAGTACGTAGGTTCTTCGGATTGGTTGCCGGCCGAGAAAGACAAGGCTCAGGTTCAGGTCAATAACTTCCTTGAGCTATGCCGTTTCTGCAAGAAGAACCTGCGTCACGACGAGGACGTTTTCATGTACGGGTCTGTTTTTTTCACTTTCCCTCGCTGCTCTCCTCTCATATATATATATATATATATATATATATATATATATATATTAGTCTTCCTCTTTTATCTTGTCTGGTTGCTCCCTCTTGGACATTTCCTTTTATGAATTGATTCATTCTAGTTGTTTAAATTCCGACTCTCGAATTGATATGATAGTTTCATATACATTCTAGTATCACAGTTAGGGAAGGTTGTTCTTTCTGGATTATTACATATATAGTTTTTGTTGCAACCATATGTGATTCTTTTGGCCAAAATGCAGATACTTTGGGGCATTCTGTTCAAAACAATGCAGAGCAAAACAGATGGCGTTGGACATCTTTAGGGAATTCCCGCGACAGAAAGCAATTGCTAAGAAGGGAAGAACCTCTAAAGATGAAGTGTTAGAGAGGATCTCATCATCATCATCGTCACGCTTTTATATATAATTTTGTATTTGATGATGATTCAGTGTAGATGGATGTGTGCAACAAAAAGCCCTTTGTCTCGTTTTTTTAGGGGGAATTGGCTTACCACTCTCACAAGTTTGCATCGGCATTATTATTACATCTGTCGATCAAACTTTCTCTACGTTTTTTTTAGGACTCTCTTGTTTAAGTCTTCTTCTTTGAACAAACCAATTTGATGTACAAGTGTGTTTTCTTAGGGTGGGTATCACAGCCTCTGATTTTTCTTTTTTCATTAATCCAAAAAGTATGTCTTTGGCGTTTACACTTTTGGGTGTCTCGTGAACTCAGAGAGGCTTTATGCCCTAGACTCAAGAGCTTTCGATGTCTATCATGGACTATATGATCGATCATGGAGATTCAACAAGAATGAATTTTTATAAACGGGCCGTGTATCGGAAGCCCATAAATCAACAATGGGTAATAAGAGGAATCGTTGAGTGGGCCTGTATTTGGGCACATTATCATTTGTCTCGCCCCTGTCAATTTGTAGGACCAAAAATGTTTTAAAAAAAAAATAACAATGACCCTTGAGAAAAATGAAAATAGCCAGCCATACGTAAACCCTCTTTGCTGGAATTAAATATGGTAAAATATTTATACGAACGAAGGAATATTTCTAGATTCTTACATTTACACTAGTTTTTAACCCGCGGTACACCGCGGGGCTATATTTTCTTAAAAAAATCAAAATGTAATTTGTTTGATAGATTATTTTGATTGTTAATTTTAGGATTTCACCCGTGGTATACTATCTTTTATAAATATCAACCCAAACCCGTCCCATCATATTACCCGTCCCGTGAAATTAAACATCATTTAGTTATTTTTCTTTTTAATAATACTTTTATTTTAAAGCTATATAATTCAAGTCAATTTAAAAATTTCTTTTAAATGGTTCCCATAAGATATATATACATATATATTAAATTTGTATAGAGTTGAAATAATATTAATATTACAAACTTTTTATATAATTTAAATATTATAAATATTTTTAAAAATATGCAATATATATTTTTTGTTATTGAATAAGAGGATATTATGTGTAAGAAATGTAGAAAATAAGAGTTTAATATTTTTACTATGGAGTCGCAAGAAAAATCTTTTATTTCTATACATGTTATTCGTTTATTAATAATAAAAGAAAACAAATCCTTTAAATTAGATATTAACTAAAATAAACGCACCATAATTACTTATTAAGTAACAACCAATAAATTTCACCAAAAAATAGGTAACAACCAATAAATTCTAAACGCAGTAATTAAAGAATGAAATATTAAAAAAATATATCAAATAAGATATAAGAATCTTAAAATAATTGAATATCTAAATAATTTAATTGTTAGTGTCGATTTTAATGCCTTCATTAATGTGGATTTTTTTTTTTACAGAGAAATATTTCCTAAAGATTATCACATTAGTGACTCAGAAAATTAAGGAAGATATGAATTTATGATTCTCGAAATCGTGTTGGTAATATCTTTAATTAATATTTTTCAAATTTAAATAATTAATGCCAATGGCATTCATCCTTAAATACATTCCAACTCCAGGATTTATTTGCTAAAAGTCATCCAAAAATGTATATATAGATAAAAAAAAGGAAATTGCAAGAATCATGGCGTTATTTCCCGTTATTTGGAGGTATGACGAAATCCAAGCTATTTTTCTTATAGATAAAAAGGAAACAAGAATTTAATTGGTTGCCAAAAAAAAAAAAAACTGTTTGACCGTATCTCTCGTGTGGATATTATATTAGATAGGCAATGACCTCATCTGACGTAGTTAATTTCTACTGCTGACAGGAAACTTGGAACAGAAGCAAACGTCGAGGCAAATCATTTAGTAGAATACGACGTCATTCCCCCTCAAAACAGCTAATTGATTCTCTTACTTGTTATGGTAACTCTTTAATTTTAACTGTAATAATGTTTCCTCTTTTCTTTTTTTGAGAATAATGGTTGGACCAAATCGATGACGCACCACCCCTGACCTCTTCTCTGCCAGTTTACCCTTATTTTTTTCTCTTTCAAAATTTATTAGTTCCCTTTACGAATTTTTGTTAATTACTTATTGATGTTTTGACTTATAAGTAGCTCATCACAATTCACAAAGATGTAAAAAGAGAGAGAGAGAGAGAGAGAGGCATATACACGTCGCATCTCACTTGTTCTCGACAACTCCCCATTCAGTTTACATGCAAGTTCTGTTCTGTTCTATATCCACTGACGTCAACCTCTCTCTTGCAGACGCTGACGTTGAGCTTTCTCTCCACGTGCACCGCAACTCTCAATACTTCTCTTCCACTTCGACCAAGCCAATAATGACAAACAATATTTTTTGTATCCTAATTTCTCTATTATAACGACTTGTTCATTACTAAAGTGCTATAATGATACAATTCCTTACATTTAACATTTAAGGCAGATAGCATGTATACAAGTATAAAAAAAGGCAGATAGCCAACTACTCAAATTTGTAGTTATATGATGAATTTTAGTTTTTCATTAATCAACACAACACTCACCCACCGGTATCTAACTATCTATTAAATACATTTCTTTATCGCCAATATTACCTAATGTCTCTACAAGAGTCCAAGGATCAAATCTTATGTTACAAATTGTTGTCATCAACTTGCCTAACAATCAATTTGAATAGCCTTTACTTTGTTTTTATGATTGATTTACTCGCAAATCCCATTCGTCGTCAGGGATTCACATGGAGGGATATGATATAATAATCTATATATGAATTTTGATTATCTTTATTAAAAGATAAATTACTCATAACAAAGCTAAATATAAAATGTTGACAAAAGAAGGAACCAATATATAACATTGCCATATATTTGTCAATAACAACATATCAAATCAAACACGGATCGGGTTCGTAGGTTAACTATCCTTCACAAAACTTTATTTCTTTTTAATTTGGGTAAGAAAAGACTAACCTTAAGATCAATCATTCGTTTCAATATATATATAATCCTATACACGATAATCAATTATTAGAAGCTTCGAGGGATGAGGATCACATGGAAATATCGTTTTCTAAATTGCTATTATGGAACTTGCCTACAAGCCTAGAGTCCTATATATATAAAAAACAAAATTATGTTGGGTGTATTAGTTAATGTGTCACTGTCTTTCTAAAATAAATGTTGTTCAGTGTATTAGTTAATATCTTCCAAAATCAATATATATATAGTAATGTAATCGAATGGATATATGTATATGATTATATAATTTATAAAAGTAAAGTTAAATGGAGTTATAAGAAAGTGAAAGCGACTAGATCCAAGTAGACAAATGAATTGATTTGGTATTTTGGCAGAAAGGGTCGAGTAATGTTACGACATAGCATGTGGTTGTGATCTAATTTATAGGATCTTCTCATCATATCCAAATGCGAAGAAGCTTCTTTATCTACTATGCATGTAGATCCATCACAAACAAACCATGGAACAACAAAATTCATTATAATATTCGTACATGCCGTAGTTCTGTATTCCACTATAGTAGCAATAAAAAAATGGAAATAGAAAAAAGAAAATGGGAATAAGACAAAAGATATTAAACATAAGAAAAGAAGAAGAAGCAAAAAAAGAGGAGAGGATGGGCAGTGAAAGTGCGTCCTCCTAACCTTCTAATCTCCGCCGTTGCTCAGACCAAAATATCTACCGTCGGATATGTCTCTTGTTAGATGATATGAATGTTTTCTCTTCGATCGTATTTTTTATTGTTTGAATTTCTACGAGCCGTCGGTATCATTTATTTCCGGCGAAAATAGTTTACTAAGGGTGGTCTCTCAACTCTGTCTGGGGAAGGAGACAAAAATCTGTGAGGAAAAATAAAGAAAGATCCGACGTGGCGAATAATGTAGGGTTAAAGGCAATCCAAAGCGAGACACGACTCTTTATCTGATCCTCTCCTCTTTACTCATATACATTCGTTTACTTCACTCGCTTCTGCCTGGCGCGTTTCGTCACAAGACCTCTTCATAAAGTAAGTACAATGCACGGAAATACATAACTATCATTTTTATTGTCATTTTCTTGCAAACAAATGGAAAATTATGAGAAATATTCATGTCGATAAACTACTCACCAGCTGGTTTTATTGATGGTGATTTTTGTCTTACACTCTGATGTTCTACACATTTTCACCTTTTTCTTCTTCTTTTGAAATTGTTTTTTTAGGTTTCGTATATGATTCCGCTTTTAAAATAAACAAATTCAATCATACATACATCTCTTCTCTTGACCAGAAAAATAACATCCCAAACTAAAGGAAAGCCCAATATTGAGGAAGTGCTTTTTTTTTTTTTTTTTTTTTTAGGGAGAGAAAAAGCCTATTGTAGAATCGAAAGTACAAAAGATCATTCTTCGAGTTTGACTCTCTTTTTTGAATTCTCACTTTCAAGATTGAATTTGCTTATTAATACTTCCTCCGTTTTTTTATAAGTTATGTTTTAAGTTTTTAATTTTGTTCTTAAATAGATGATGTTTTCAGTTTTCGATGCAAAATTAATTACTTTTTTTATTGGTTTTGACGATTTATATTTTGTAGATTGTTTTTTTATTGGTTGATTAAATAATAAATGATGTTTTAGTTTAAAAATAAACAAAAATTAAATAATTTCTAAATCGATGTGCATTCTCTTAAAACATCACTTATAAAAGAATGGAAAAAGTATTTTGTTTTACCTCTTTACATTGTGACACAAATTGGATTTGTTTCATTAAAATATTATAGGTGTATGGGCACAAAACTTTTAGGACAAAAAAATGAAATATAACAAAAAAGCTTTTAACTCTGCTCTTTCCAATCTAAACCCGTTGGTCCTTACAAAGAATCCATTATATTTACAAACTATACACAAGTTTGACGAATGCTACTAATCTATGGGAAGAAACTAATGGTTTGAAAACCAAAAAAAATGGTCACTTCTCTATAATCCTAAAGATATACTCTCTTCTGTTTTCACTCGAATCTTCTCCTGTGCTTAGGCACCAGAGATCTTGACCAAGATCTGACTTTTCAATGACTCTTTGATTCACATATCTCCAACCCCTGAAAAATCCTGCAAGACCAGATGCTATCAGAAAACACAAGAGCAACACCAAACTAAAATATTCTATAATCATTTGATCATCAAAGATTTAGTTACCAGTTTTCTTTTTGTTCAGGCTTTAGAAACATTGAATCCTCCCTCGGGATCTGTCTTCAAATGGATTCAGGACCGATGATGAATCAGTACGGGTTAAGCTCAGAATATCCATACCGTTGAGGAAGAAGTTCCTCAACTTCGATCCTAGAGCTGGTGTAACTGGAGCTTTTCTTGATACGGTTTCTACATACCGATTCAATCTCTACTGAGAACAAACTGTAGACTGGTCTGTGATCAGAGAATCTTGATTCCCCGCGAACATATGACAGCTGATTAATACCACTACCGTACCAGAGTATGCGATCACACCTTCAATTCAGATGATCAAACTCAGTATGTTTGCTATGCCATCAACTTAAAAATTAGACTAGAGAGATAAGTACTAACCATGCTGGAGTCCGTCTCTTGGCCTTGGGAAGCCGATCATCGCCAGCATATATATCTGAATTGTTAGAGTATTTGTAAGTGGGTGGAAAATATATAGTCCCTTCATTCCATCCTTCAAAGACACAGCCTTTTCGTTGTTCTATCCGTAGCTGTAACAACCAAAACAAAAGTGACATTTAGACAAAATTTCTTATCTTTCCTAGTATATAATATTTTTTTTTTTTTGTCTTTGAATGGTTGTCTAAATGTAACTACCTGGTCTTTCTCAAGCAAGGCACTCCAATTTCTCATCTCGACAAGAGCTTTTGCAGACCGATAAGAAAGAGCTATACGGTAGTTCAAGTCTCCAAGCCAGATTACCCGACTGAAGAAAAACAGATTTCGCTAAGTTGATTGCAAGAATCAAAATTCAACAAGTAAAGAGCATTGATGCAACAGATAACTCACTCGTGTTCTAAAATCGTCTGAGGAGACTTGTCGTCGCCTGCATTGTTCACTCTAGGAAATCTGGTTTTCCTCAGAATCTCCAAAACATCAGAGTTTCTTCTTAGCTCGTCGCCTTCTTTCTGACCAGACGTCAAGTGGCTGCAGACAAAGCAGAAGCTTGTCTGGTGAACGGACATGCTGATCGAAATGGAGCCCTGCAGATAAAAAAAAAGATCCAAAATTTGACAAGCTGAAAGATATAGGAAGCATATAAAAACCGGATTTGGGAATGTGGAATTAACCTTGTTTCCAAGATAACCCATCAAGCCTCTGCCAACACAAGACACTTTGAGGTTCTTGACACTGTCCCTTAGATCACTCTTGACCCAAACAGTTAAGAATATCCCAACCATCTGCTTACTGGCCACTAAACAATACTTAGACTTGTCTCTGTCGTCTGCCACAAAGGATCCAGTCCTCGAGACAGGGGAATAGTGATCATGAGAAGGAGAATCTGGCTCATCTTCAGAGGAGCAATACCTGAAGCTCTGGTCGTAGAAGTCGTCAGGTCTGTCGCCCAGCATGAAACGGTCACAGACGCTGAATCTCCGGTCAAACTGCGGTGGCAGGGATGATGCAGACAGGTCCATCCTCATGCTCCTGCTCCGATGGTAGAAAAACGAGTTAGGCCCAGCGGCTGAGTCGCCTTCGAAGTCAGAGTCGAGCTCGGCGACCGGGTGGGGAACAGGAGAAGGAGTACGGCAGCTTCCGCCGGGAAGACTGTTCAAGGTTCTCCGGATGAGAGAGACCCATTTCCTGGCGGGTCCGTTGTCCTCGGTGCCTAAAACGTTGCCGGCGTTCAAAGGAACGATCTCTTGGAAGCTGTGAAAATCCAAATCATGAGAGGCTTTTTGTCGAGATTGGGAATCAAATCAAAGAAAGAAAGAAAAGGTGTGTGTAAGTACCCAAGAACGTAAATGTCGGAAGGAGGAGAAGTGTGAAGCCAATCATCGAGATTTAGATAACTCGGCGGAGATTTTCCGGCGACATTCCATGTAGCAGTAAAAACCCTTTGATGTGTGTGTGTGTGTGTGTTAGATAAAAATTCCCAAAAAAATCAAGAAGACACAAGAAATATATACCTAAGAAGATGATGATCAAGTGGTGGATCGACATCGAGTTTGTTTCGTCTGGCTCTTCCGCTGTTCCTTTTGCTCGGAGTCTCTGCATACGCTTTTTGATATCAAATTCATTTTCTTCAATGATAAAAATAAATAAAAGGAATGAATAAATGGCCCAAAGTTTTTTATCAAAAAAAAGGAAGACAAGGCATGGTTTATGACAGACTGACTGACCAGTTTTGCTTTTGTGGACAGAGCATGCTTCCTCTCTTTCATTGACATTGTTCCTCCAATCTCCTCCACCTTCACCAAAAAGAGAAAGCCGTTAAAGCTCTTCTCTTCTCACATTCCCCAGATGGACCTATTACTACTACTAGTGTTTTAACAAACTTATAATTATAACATTGTCTGAGTTAGTTTCTTACCTCTGTCCAAGTCGTCTGCGTGAAAATCTTCTGATTTGCTCTTGATGTTGAGCCATTTCTTGACCAACGTTTTGGGCCATGAAAGCTGCAGCAGAAGCAAACGAGATTTAGAAACAAGACTTCTTTTAAGAGAGAGAGAGAGGGAAACAAAAACCTTGCTTTTCTTGAGGCTACCATCACCCATTGTTCTTCAGCTTCATACAGAGATGGCTAGATCTCTGATTCACTATTTTTAATCCTTTTTTAGCAAAACAAAAAAGATAAGCATCCCCTGAAGCCAAGACCCAAGAGAGATGGATGAGATTCTGAGATTGGAAGAAGTCAATGTGAGACTACTTCTTCTTCTTCTTCTTCTTCTTATAAAACAGAGGAGATTAAGGGATTCTCACTCTGCCTATGAAGAAACAAGGAACCTCGTTTCAGGACCAAACTGCTTGTTTCTTTGTTTTCTCTCTCTCTCTCTCTCTCTCTTTGAACGCCAAATCCAAGAAGAGGCAAAAGGAAGACAACAACTTTGGAACCCGAGTTCAGAGAGATGGGTATTCGGGTACAGCCCGGATTTTCCTCTTGTTCTTGTTTTCTGAAATGTATCCGTATTCTCTCTCTCTTTCTGTGTCTTTAAAGAAGAACGGATCATGAAACTGCCATCTGATTCTCTCTCCACAGCTCCTTCTTCTTCTTCTGCATCTCTCTCTCTTGCTTATACAAAATTGTGGGTCCGACCCGTTTTAAAGAAATGTATTATTAAATCCGATTTGTACCCGTTTTTCCCTGTATCGGGTCGGGACAGACGACCCGGTAACTTACTCAATTTACATTTTCTAATTATCACCAAAAAAAATTGCTAGTTGCATTGCATCGAGAGAGTTATTGCACTTTCCCTCAAACTTTGTTTCCATATCTCATTGATTTTGACGTATCTCATTTTCTTCCCATAAAATATTTTAACTTTACCTTATTATGGAATGCTAATCTATATCCTCCTAAAAGCTCTGAGTTTTGGTAACACATTACTCACAGTGCCGGCTCAATACTTTGATGGGCTCTAGGGCAAAAAAAAATTTGGGTTCTTAGAATTTTTTTTTTTAGTGTTTTTGAGTTATAAAAAAAATTTTATGATATTTTTAATAAAAATTTAATTATTAAAACTTAAAAACAGTAAATAAAATTTTTTTGGGCCCTTATAAATTTTATTTTTATGTTGTAATCTATATTTTTAATATTTTTGTAAAAAAAATTTTAAAAATGGACCTCTTAATTATTAGAACACGGGATTGAACCCCTGGCCGTTGTACCGCCCGCCCCATATTCTGAGCCGGCACTGATTACTCACTACTGCCTCGAATTAAAAATGTTCATTTCCCTTTTATGTTCAAATTTTACACTATTCATTGTATTTAATTTGTTGCCGCAATGTAATTCTTCCTTCCTTGTTCAAATATTTATAGATCATATTAATAGATATAGTCTTGTAGATTGTTCAATAATCAAATTATACTCGTATAGAAACTAACAAATCAAGAATATGCATGTGTATATATAATGAAGCGGAAATATGATATAAAACATTAATCATAAGAGGTACAATCCAATCCATTACATCAAAATAGACACTTTTGGGTATTCCATTCCATATATTCCAATACAAATCCCGGATTTTGGCAATTGGAACAAACCCGATAAACAAAAAAAAGAAATCTCAATTATTGGGAATATGTCGCCAAGAAACAATACTAGTTATGTATTAATGTACTAAAAGGAAGCTAAAATATAGCAATAAAAGCAAAACGAGAGAGTGGATTGGTTAGCTAAGGTAGATGCATGTATGCATGTTTAAAGGGTGAAGTTTGAGGTTTCGGGAGACACCAACAACAATTGTCACTTTATGTTTTTGGATTCGTATTTATCATAGAAAAAAGGAATTAACACGTTTACCAAAACTTATTTGCAAGGCACTTTTTAGTAAAATGTGAGATTTATAAAAATTGAGTTTTGTTGTGTGGAAAGAGGAGGGGCTTCTTTTTGACCCAAAATCTAGACTAATGTCTCTAAGGGACCATCCCCTTTGCGAGACTCTGCCTCGTCCTCTTCGATCTATTACTTTATCAAACTTTTAATTCAAACTTTATTATTGTAAGAATACAATGTGACATTGCATATATATCCATCCATGTGAAGTGAATGCTACCTATGAAATAACATATGGTACAATTTATACGAACATAAGATGGGTTTGAATTACTGTGCCTTAGGGTTTGGGTAGAGTCGAGTTTCAAACTGAGAAATAGTATTTGTTTAAACACAAGACGCAAAAGTTATATTGAAATACTGTAATCTCGAAGCTAACTTCTGTTTATTTTCTACACATAAAGTTGTGATCTTGTAGGGTTAACTTATGGGGGCCAATGCTCTCAGATTTTGCTTTTATCTAAAATTTTATGATTATAAAATCGAGTTTTCACTTTTAAGACATTGTTTGATGAATTTATGCGATACTATAGTTTTGTAAGGTAAAGTTAAGATGACACATGCTGCATGTGGGAGACTGTGTCTGTTTTGTTCAGACCAAACTTAGGTTTAGTAAATATAGTAATTTTATTCTTTTTTCCTTTCAAAATGTTTTTTTTTTTTTTTTTTTTGTGAACAAAACCTTCCAAAATGTATCATATACACACATTTGTACATTTCAACAGCCATTTCTTTTTTGTTTTGTAATTCGAAACGAAAAAAGAAATCAACGCTCAATAACTTTATCTGGCTCTACGAAACCCTGTGCCAGTTGTAATAAGTACTTATATAATTACGCCTTCGTTGTTTTTTTTGTTAAAAGCGTATGACTCCTCTCTGATTAGAGAAACGTACTGATTAGTTAAAGGGTTAGATGATACTTAATGGTAATAGTTTATTCTGTCACGTCAACACAAGTACACCCAACAATAAAGAATTAGAACATTGCAATTAAAGAGACCGGAACGAACTATTTATTCGAATAAAACGAACCATTTATTAAACTGAGAAAAACAAAATTGAAGGCGACTTTGTATAATAACCGGCACATGTTGGGTATATATAAAGATTCATGATAACACCTATAAGAACATTAAGATATAATTTGGCAAGCCTGTTTTTTGATTATAAATAATTTATCTCAATGAGTAGACAGACGAGACAATTAATACTAATTAATTATTATTACCCCTCAATCTTTTTTGCCTGGGAACTTTTTTTACAAATTCATATACTCATGATGCGAAAGAAACTATGTAATAGATGCAATGAAATAAGATGTTTATTGGGTTTTATCGAAGGGGAAAGTTGGAAGGAAGGATGGGTGATGTGAAAGTTTTTAACTTGGAAGAAGAAAGAAAGAGGTCCTTTGGGTGTATGTGTGGGTAAAATATCACTTTCATGAACATGGAGAGATTTTAGGGTTTAGGGGTAAAAAGGTTAAATGATGATGTTACTGTTTTTATCTCTTTCTGCAATGTTATCTGGTATAGTTGCAAATATCCGATCACACATCAAATAATTAATTCATCAAAACTCATAATTCCCAACCGTACGGTACAGCTACTCCCTGAAACAGGATGGTGTACGTCTTTAAACATTAAAAGCCTAAATTTCTACTTCTGTTCGATCCAAAAACATGTATCGGCTCATCCAATCATAGTCTGCTTTCGCCCTCGTTGTCTCACTGCATACCAAAGCAAGACTTTGTGTTACGTCTTGAACAGTGAGTTCATTTTAACAGGATCAAGAAATGATCGTGGAAATTTGAACCATGCTCGAACCGCTGTGTCTTAAGCAGTGAATGTAAAGAGGAAATTTGAAAAAGGATCAAGAAAGGGTATGTTGCAATCGCTCTCACCACATTTCCGCATGAAGAATGCATTGTGATCAAAGCTCTCTCAAGTACATACAAATCAACAGCCTTGTCTCCAGGCAAGGTCGATGTATTCAAGAGGATTCACGGCATATAGGACTGGGGTACAAACCCCAAGCTTTCTTGCCTTTGTCACACCTAGCCTCCTATATTAAAAGAAAAGACATAGGAGCATATAGTTGATTTTCTCTAGTCTCTATAAACATTTTAAACAAGGAAACATGAAAAAGGTAACCAACAGCATTCAAGCATTGTTTGAAATCCAAAACTGGGTGTCTGTATATCTTCGAGAATCCTTCTTCTTCTTACGGCAAAGGTAAACCCTCTGAAACAAAATTGTAGAGACTTAAATCTGGTCACTGATTGCCTATCCCGTGGAAAAGAGATGAGAAAACTGAGGAACAGATAAACTTACAGCTTCGGCTCCTTGCTTTATGAGAAGGATGGATTTGTTCCCCACGCTGTCCTCACAATCCATACCTAAAGTTTCGCACCAAGCAAGATACTTTTGAAATTGTTAGAAGCTCCTCAAGCAATAGAAGGCAGCAAAACAATGCTCATCCAACTAAAGTATTTGCACTTTCAGCGTTGAGAATAACAATGTATCAACCAAGATACATAATCTGAAACTAAACAAACATTCTTGTGACCACACCGCTAACAATCACAATGGTGTGAGTAGAGTAAAACATTCAAAGAGAAGAATGGTCCCTTTAACAGAGAGATACAGGCCAATATTTCCCCTAGTATAGTAGTGTATATTCTTTTCCGCTAGCAAAAAAAAAGGGAACAGGGAGATTAGTAGGAGGAGGAGCACGTACCAGCAGTAATAACGGCGACGGAGATGGTCCGGAACTCCGAAGAAGGCGACGTCGATTTCAGAGTAAGCTTCCCTTTTGGAGTAGTTGTGTTGGGCCATAAAACCAGAGTCGAAAAGTTTTGGGTTTCTTTCTGTATATCAATTCAATAGTAATAACACTAATAAGCATCTAAAATGGGATAATCCTCTATATAGAGTATTGATCGCATAACAGGGGGAAAAAGAAAAGCTAAAATGCAGTCACGCCTATCCTTGGAATTAGATTTGTAATTGGCAAAGGGAAAACAAACATTCATGTTTTGGTACAAATCTATAGCGAAGAGATTCATAGAAGGGAGTGAAGTTGAAAGCTAATGAGATCTGCGGTTGACAAGTCTCTTGTGGATGGCTCTGATGGTGGTTGGTGTTGTGCGGCAGCAACCTCCCAGGAGAGACACTCCTGCATCCATCCATTTCTCTACGTATGACACAAAGTCTTCATCCCCAACTCCTGTGTTTTCCTGCAACAGTGATTGAGCAACTCAGACAACTGTGCTCGTTCCTCTCTAAACAAATACTGTATTATGACGACTTACCACCCACTCCTTCCGATCAGCATCATAGCTTTCTCCGCTGTTTGGGTACACTAGTATGGGCTTGCTTGTCACCTACAAATTATGCATATACCTTTTAGGGTCTCTCTATAAATACAAATACCTAATGAATGTGGATCCATTCCAAGCCGCACCTTTTCTATCTCCAAAACTAGCCCTTCGATGAATCTTGGAGGGGTACAGTTGATTCCAACCGCCACTACTTTCTCACAATTTTCAGCTATGGAGATACACTCCTTGATGGAATCCCCGCTAACCACGTTCACGCCATCCTTTGAGTTGAATGAAAACCACCCAGGAATCTTGACATCTCCCTCCTCTAACAGCTCAGCAAATGCCTTGCATATCACAGAAAGAAACACCCATCAGAAGCTAACATAAAAAATGGGACGCTCGATATGAAAGGATAAATCTAATACAATATGTCAATTATCACGATGCTGAGGAACCATCGGTACCTGAGCCTCTATCTTGTTTGGAATGGTCTCAAATGCTATTAAATCAGCACCAGATTCCGCCAGAACTTGGAGTCGTCTGCGGTGAAAATCCTTCAGCTTTTCCAGCGTGATCAAATCACCATAGACTCCACTGATAGAATAACACAACTACCAAGAGTTAAAGATAGTTTGAAGGAGATAGTGCAGGAGTATATGAATCCACAAAAAAGCAAAAATCAAATCAGAATAGGACAAGTGATAAGAGCTTTTGAAACTGGTTCCAACCGAAACTCATATCATCTACTAGTTTAAATGTGTAAAAGAAAAATGAAGCAATGACCTGTATTCAGACCCATCAGCCAAGTATGCACCATAGCTACCAACTGATGCTGCAACTAATATAGGCCGCTTTTTAAGAATCTTATCATCCATGGAAGAGCTAGTTCCACATTTGTCATAATACGTGTTCCGAGCTTCACAAGCTATTTCTACGCTCTTTCTAAGCAAAGATTCACTAATTTCTCTTGAAAATCCTTTTGCTTCAAACCCCTGAATCGTGGCCTGTTCAGATTTATCATCAATCCACTTTGTTAGGGTCCAAAAAAGAGAGAGATAAACAAAGGAAGATAGAAAGATGAAGAGAGAGAGAGAGAGAGAGAGAGAGAGAGAGAGAGAGAGAGAGAGAGAGAGAGAACCTGATAAGAAGCGCTGGAGATGATATCAGCACCAGCTTCAAGGTAATCGAGATGCACCTGCTCCATCAGGAAATACAAGCAGCTAAATAAAGGTACAACAATCCATCATGTAAAATAGCAAAACCAAATCGTAATCCTGTTTTATAAAGTTTTGAGCTTCAATAAAGCTACCTTCCTGACTCAAAATGCAAACGAAATTTGGAAATAGAAAATGAGATTTTACCACACTATGAAGCAATATGAAGACTAAAGACAACGAAAAGTTTAAATATTATCAATGGCAGTTGAATCAGTAATCTTATATAGCTGCTTAATAGCAAAAGTGTTCAAACGTCCCTGGAGCAACAAACCATTAATGGAAATGAGAATGCTTTACTTCATCCAACTTTTGGGTACCCATGGCATTTACTCAAATCAATCAAAGTAAACCTAAAAATCTAGGGTTTATTTACACACAAAAGCCTTGCTGCTCAGAGATTTCACTGACAACAGAAAAAGGATGGGGAAAGGATTTACTTACGGTGTGAATGAGGTGAGGAGAAGTGAGGAGGCATTTGGCGCTCCAGAGAGGATCGTTGAGATCTGCTCCATGTCTCTCGAACTCCGTTGCAAGCCCTCCGTCTATCACCGCAAAGCCGCCTGTCTGCTTCAGGTAATCTTTCATCGAGCAAAAAGAGCTTCCGGTCATCTTCTGAGTCGGAGTCGGACCTATTTCTTTCCCAACAACTCCCACTCAAGAAGCAAGCGTCTACTACTGTCTCTGCAGAAGAGAAACAACCAAAACTAGTTTTGTTTACAAGCGTTACAAATTGTACTTTTAGACCTTTATCTTCAATACTTATAACAAAATCGGCCCAATCCTTTTCTACGTTACCTCCAGACCCCCTCTGGTAAGTAAGTTTTTTTCTTATCAGATTTTGATCATCAATTTATATATGAAATTCGAATCAACATCATCGGACCTGCAACGAGGGAGACATGACCCCATCAAAAAAATCAAGCTTTATCGATTTATACACAGACTGTGTTTAGATACATAGAGAGCAGTAAGATTCTTATGACAAAACCCACACCAATCCAACACTCCCATATCTCAAAGTTTTACAAAATCCAAAGAATCAATCACGCAGCTCTCAAGAATATTCGACACGGAGCAAAAGGAAAGAGAGAGAGATAGAGAGATTCAGGGGCCTCTAGGTTTGAAGAAACAGAGGCACCCCTGAAACTGGTCTGGAGCTATCATTCCACCGCCTTTGCTTGTGTCTATGGCTTCCAGCAGCTTCACCACCTCCTCCATCTCCGGACGCCTGTCTGGATTCGGGTCCCAGCATCTCTTCATGATGTTTGCCACTGCATTCGGGCAGCATTTCGGAATCTCTGGTCTCAGATTCTGAGCACCAAACAGTGAGGTCATTACATTTCCTGATTAGCTTTAACATTGGAGAGATTGTAGAGACTAGAGAGAGAGATGAACCTTATGAACGACGGCGTGAGAGATCTCAGCAAAACTACAGTCCGCATAGGGCATGTCACAGCAGTATATTTCCCAGAGGCATACCCCAAAGCTATAGACATCGCATTTCCTGTTGTACGGCTTTCCTTCAAGAACCTATGCACCAAAAGCTAACATTTTCATTTTCCCTATTACGAAGGAAACACAAGGATTTTTGGCTCTACAGGAAAATTACATACCTCTGGTGCCATGTATCCAAGTGTTCCAGTTTCACCCGTCATGTCTTGAGGGTTCTGAGCTTCGACTCTAGCTACCCCGAAATCAGCGATCTTCAGCGTCTTGTTAGGTTGTAACAGCATGTTCTCTGACTTCACGTCCCGATGTACAATCGCCTTGGAGTGGAGGTAACTAAGCCTGAGAAATAGAAAAAAAAGGTAGGAAGAGTTTTGTTGATAAAGGAGGATGCATCTTTGTCTGAAGAGTTTCAGATATGAATGCCAAATCAGGAGAGAGAAGAGAGATTACCCTCTAGCGAGATCCAAAGCGAGCTGAATGACATCCTTGATGGGTAGTTTGGCCCTATATTTCTTGATGAGGAACTTCTTGAGCGTGCCTCCGGCAACATATTCAACGACAACACAACAGGCCCTCGCAGGATGTGCGCCGTTACCACGTCCGCCAGTATCACCAGCAGGAGGGATCCGCAAATCAGAGGTTCCCATGGATGCTCCTATAAACTGCCAGAGAGAGAGAGAGAGAGTTAAAACACGAATAAGTGGTTCTACTTCTACCATTGGAGTGGCATGAATGTAAAAATAAGGAATACCTTAGTAACGTTGGGATGATCGAGCTTCTGCCAGACGGCGACCTCTTGCTCGAAGGAAGTACGCAGAGCTGCAGTTTCAGCTGCGGTGGCGTAACCATCTTCTCCCCAATCTAACACTTTGACTGCAAAATCATATCTCATCAGTTATCTAAATCGATCTCATATCTTTCTAACGAGAGAAAGGACTTAGGACCTGCGACGTCTTGGCCGGCGTAGACACCGCGGTAGACAGTGCCATAAGTGCCGTGAGCGAGGACGTGCCTCATATCGAGTTTGGAGAGGTCAATCTCCCATTCCTGCATCGCCGGGGCCGGAGCGCTCGTCGAAGCGGAATTATTGGTGACGACGCTGCTACTAGAGGTTTGACCCATATGCAAATCCCATTTACTGAAATCGAGTTTATCAGCCCTCAAGTATCGTTCTTCTCCGGCGCTCCTGCTCCCAGCACCGCCTAATTTGGGATCCGCGGACCCGGAACCGATTTCAAGTGATTTATCCGCCTCTCCGCCGCCAGAGGCCATTGGTTTCTCTCCGGCTTGAAGAACCACCCACCACCACTAATACAATACTCTTCGATCCAAAACCCTAAATTAAGCTGTTCAATCAGTGAGTTGAGGGGACAAACCTAGGGTTGGTTTTTTTCTTCTTTGTGAATTTCAAAATTATGTGGTGGAGAGAGAACAGGACAAAAGACAAAAAAGAGAGAGTTGAGAAAGAAGAAGAACAAGTTAGAAGAAAGAAACCGATTGAAGGTGGTGGTCTCCACAAAATAAAATAAAAACACTCCCTTTTTATACTTGTCTTTGAGAAGAGGAGAGGAGAGGATCGGATCGGCGGTGGAGTGGGAGAGACCAAATCTTCAATGTCTTTTTGACAGTTTCACCGGCCAATGAGTCGTTTTGTTGCCCTTTTCCAATTTTTATAAAAAGAAAAAAACAGAGCTGTTGTCTGTCTTTCGTTGCCTTCTGATTTTTATCCCCTCCGTCAACGTCTCTTTCGAACAACGGACCAAGTGAAACCGTGAAAGTTATATCAATTTCTTGTAAATTTACATTCGACTTAAATATGTACAACGGAGAAGTGAACAACTTTTTTTGGTTTGTGACGCAATCTATCGAAACCAAAGGTCCACTTTAATAACCGCATCACGCACGACTCTCTCTTTAAGATTACTACTTAGTTATATATATTCATAATAATCAGATTACGTAATTGTTATCGACTATACTTTTATAGTTTGTCATGTGAATATGTTGGGAATCTTCGTCCGTCGTTACTTGTCAGCACAAAGAACCAAAACCGAGACGCATCCACCAGAGCATATACCTTTTTTTAGAATAACCTTTTCAACGCAGACAGAGAATAACCCAAAAACTCAATAGTCAATACTAAAAGAAAACACCCAATCTTTTTTTTTATAAAAAAAAACAATATTTACATTGCCAAACTCAACTCCTCTCAAAAGATTAGTTCACAAGGTAAGGTAAAATCACACTTAAGGATGAATCGTTTTGTGTGGGTCCAACTGGCAATGTTTTCATCAAGCATGATGCTAATCTGGTGTTGATACCTGAAGAAAAGTTTCATAACATTCTTTTGTCGGATATTTCTCGGGCTTACCAGTAAACTGATGCTGGATGGTTCAACGGGCATAGTACGGCCTTTTGAGAAGAGATGAACATGGCAAATTCCCAAGGTTAAGATCCTCACCTAAGCAAATACTCAGTCAGATATCCTCTGAGCTCACTACCAAGCGGCTCGCTCTGCTTGCAGTACCGGTCTACATAACCGGAGTCGTGATGACCGGACAAAGGAACATCGTCTTGAAGATAATCCCCACAGTCGATTATGATGTTATGCAACAAACAACACACCAGTATTATACTAGGTAGCTTCCTCCTGTCGGGTCTCCACATTACTTTGCTCAGAATCCTCCAGCTTCCCTTAAGCTGTTGAAAGGCAGTAGCTGCGACTGACCTGACCTTCTCATGCCTGTCGTTGAACGCCATCATGGAATCAGAGGGACCATTGCTGTCATGAGGAGTTATAAGCCAAGGAAGAAGCGGGTAACTGATCCCTCCAACTACGTATTCTCTTACCTCGGCTCCTTCACATAGAGTTTTAGCATTTCCGTCTAATATCTGACCGTTTTCACAGAGTTTGAAGAAGCCAGAGAACTTGAGAAGCTTGGAGACGGTCATGCCGCCAGGCCAGCCGGTAACCATGTTGAGAAATCTCATTTCGTGATCAAAGACTCCTTGCAAGAACATGCTGTAGTTCTTCTCCTGGTCACACCAGTCATCAGATGCTTGCACAGCCGGGAGAGTCATGATGATGTGCGTTGTATCAATGGCTCCGCAGCAATTGGGGAGACCGTACATCTCCTCGAACTTTGACTTGATCTCTTCGATTCGGTCAGAATCTGGCCATCTAAGATGATGCTTGGCACGTTCTTCAAGTGCCTCGATGAATCGCCATGTAACCTGGGGAAAACAAATGTTGTCAGGATGCAGAATATATTGAAATCACAATTTCTACCAGGGGAGTTTTGCAACCTGAGAAACAGTGGATTGGCCAACACCAAAGGCAGCTCCGACGGAGACCTGAGAATCACCGGAGGCCAACCTTCTAAGAGCAATGGCGACTTGTTTCTCAACACTGAGAAGCCTTCCTTCGATGTTGATGAGTCCAGAGGGAGGTCTAGAGATAAGATCCTCCCTGACGAGCGAACAGATATAGCTAAAGGTCGTCTTAGAAGCCCTAAAGAAGTGCTTGAACGCATCATCTTCGTCTAAGGGGATCGAAACACCTGAAAACAGCTACAATCTCAGTTCAAACAACCCTAGAGCTACAAGAATTGAGGGGAGGAGATGAATTAAACTGAAATCAGCAAGGAATTATCTCGAAAACGAGGGGAGGGAAATAGAAGAGAACCTGAGAGAGAAGAGTTTCGGAGCCAGAAAGTATCCCACCAGTCGCAGTCAATAGCCTCCGGATCCAAAGGCGCTGCGTTGACTCTCTTCTTGTCTTTCTTCTCCGATTTCTTCGCCAAATTTTTCGCCTTATCCAGAGGCTTCTTCTTCTTCTTCACCGGAGCCATCGACGGAGAGAAGCGGCTCGTTTCCCACGACAGGAGAGAGTCGACGGACGGAGGTGGAAGAAGGGTAAAAATGGGAATTTGAACGTCGCTTGCTGGACTCCAGTGGGCTTTCACCTCCTATCGGGCCCACTGGGCCCTCTCGATTCGTCCACATCTTTTAATAGTTTTTAAAAAAACATTTGAATCAAAATTACCTTTAAAATTCATTATATTATATAGCCCATCTTTCAAAAATACTCCATGTTTTTGCTAATTGGAATCGCTTTTTCAAAACAAAAAAAAAAAAAAAGAAAAACCCTACAATTTTTCAGTTACAGATAATAATTGCATACAAAAAATGGCTGTACGCTACTGGAGCAAAATCATTTTTACTAAAAAGAGCACTGAAAAAAAAGCAGAGTTTTGTATTTTTCTTCATATATATCTAAAATAGAAATTGAGCAAATTCCAAAGAAAATCTCATAATTTGAAATTTAGAAAGAAAAAATGATGGTAGAGGGGAAATTGTTCTTTTGCCGCTCTCGGACGAATCGTTTGGTCTGGTTCTTTTCTCTCTCTTCTTCGTCTTTGCTTTTCTCTCCCTCTCAACTTTTTTTGGCCTTAAAGAGAATGATTTCATCTTTTGATAAAGTTTCCATTTTTGGCGATATAATACAAATATGTAGTGTAGTAATTTGATTCCCTTGTGCTCATCCACCACGGTGTCGGCACGATTGAAGCTCCTCCAAGAGCCGTAGAGGTATACTATAATACTAGATTGTTACCCGCGGTACACCGCGGGTTGAATATTTTTATTATTTGTTATTTAATAATACAATAATAATTGGTTTTATTTTATTTTGATTTTTTTTTGTGGTGATATATATATTTATGTATTATAGTTGGGATTGTGTTATAAGTTATCGATATTATTTGTGTATAACATGTTTTAATCGAGTCATATGTGTTACAGAGAAATTATTTCCTTTTATATTAATCGTCTAATCATTTATATCTAAAATCTGAGAATTATATTACGAATGCAAACAGATTGAGATTTAACATATAAATGATTACAGAAAAATTATTTCCTTTTATATTAATCGTCAATCTGTTTGCAGTCGTAATATAATTCTCAGATTTTAGATATCTTGTATTATATGATTTATTTAGATGTGAAGGATTAAAATAATTTTAATCAATATAAATTGCACGATAGTTTGATTTTATTAAGGAAAAATTAATTTTTGATCAGGTAAATATGGCTGTGAATAGTTTTTTTCATATGCAAAAACTTATTGTTTGAGATAATAATATGTTTTAATTAATTAGTTTGCATGATATATATTGAACTTAATAACATAATTAACATGTTAATACAAAATAAGGTAACCTCTCATACATGCTGGGCTGTAGACAACAAAGTCCTTTAATGTTACTGGGCAAAAAAAAAAAAATGCAAAAGAACCGGTCGGATTAGTTGATCTGAACCGGTAATGTACCAACCGGTTAACACAGATTTGATCTCGTTGGTTAGAGTCTAGACGGGTCATTTTCAATTCCGCGAAACACAATCAACCTAACTTCTTCTTCTCCATTTTCTTCATCTTCTTCTCCATTTTCTTCATCTTCTTCTTTAATCTCGTCTTCTTCAGCTCAAAACCTAAACCAAACAAAACCTTAACACCACTTCTTCTCTCGATCAATCAATCAGCGATTATTGACCTTTAATCGACCATAGATTTTTCCTTTAATCCTCAGAGAAAACGTAATCGAGTGAAGACGGGTCATTTTCAATTCCGCGAAAGACAATCAACCTAACTTCTTCTTCTCCATTTTCTTCATCTTCTTCTCCATTTTCTTCATCTTCTTCTTTAATCTCGTCTTCTTCAGCTCAAAACCTAAACCAAACAAAACCTTAACACCACTTCTTCTCTCGTTTGGTCAATCAGCGATTATTCACCTTTAATCGACCATAGATCTTTCCTTAATCGTCGATCCCAATTAACATGGCTTCGAACGGCGCTTCTCCGGTATCTTTCTCACTCGATATCTGTTTGCTACAATTTAGTATCTTTATTTTGGCTCCTTTTCTAACTGACAGTCTTAAACTGACCCATTTTGTCAATTTCGGAAAATGCGTAGAGGATTGTTGATGCTACTGATAACAGCTTGGATAAGATTCCGCAGCAATTGGAATCGAGGGTTATCGGAACTTGCTTCTGGGACCTCTTATTCAAGCGAGCTGAAACTGTAAGTTCAATTCTTATTCTGACAATAGTATATTCAATAGTTTGTAACTCAAATGATTTTCAGTGTTCTGAGCACAGCTAAACTTTTAATGACATAGCAACTGTACTGATTAGCTAATCGATTAATGTGTGTTTGTCTAGGAATTAACATAGAATCCGACTAATTGAAAGTTAGAAACTCCTCAACTTAGCATAAGCAGATCAAAAAATGAAGAGAAGGTAAGAGTACAGTTAGTGATTTTGGGCGGCATAAAGGAGTTTATGATGATTATTTTGAAGTATCTAACCCTTGCTGTATATTGAATAGGAAGCTTCTACCATCAGAAGACATCAGGACAAAAACCTGAAACCAAGGAGAATAAAATCTACATCCGCATCTATGCAAGGTTAGTTTACACTTTCTTCTCACTGAAATGTAATTTATAAACATCTACAACATTTTCATTGATGTTAAGCTAAGATTAATTGAGTAAAAATGAGAAAACTAAATGATTGTGCATCTGCTTGATTGATTGTACTTTATTCAATACATAAAAAGAAAGACATAACCAAATATGACGAAAGTAAGAGTGTTTAAAGAAGTCAAATATAGCTAGCACAATAACTGGAATTGAAAGTCGATTGATTGGTTGTTACTTTCTTTTGAACCATGAGACATTGAATCTGTGAAAAGGTAAGTAGATTGTTAGTCAAATATATGATTGATTGACTGGGGGTTTTGCTTACCATAAAGCAATTATATTATAAAATAAAATGGTAAACTAAACATACCTTCTTTGATAAGATTGTTTGACAAATAATGCAAGAAGCATTATGAGTCAATATTCTGAAAAACTTCTTTGAAAACAACATTAGTTGTTTGCTTTTGAATCTTCCCTTCTTTGTCTAGTATCAGAATTTTCAAACCTGTCTTTGAGGTAACCCTAGATAAAGCAACATATAGTTGCCCATGAGAAAACACTGGCTTAGGCAGATAGAGTCCAACCCTCTCTAGTGATTGTCCCTGACTCTTGTTGATAGTCATAGCAAATGCTAGTGATACTGGGAACTGTCTTCTACGCATCCGAAAAGGTAGCTTTGTATCGGATGGTGTAATATTGATTAATGAAATCAAAACAATATCACGAATTCTGTCTCCGGTTATAACTCTTGCTTAAAGTTTCCATTTTTGGCGATATAATACAAATATGTAGTGTAGTAATTTGATTCCCTTGTGCTCATCCACCACGGTGTCGGCACGATTGAAGCTCCTCCAAGAGCCGTAGAGGTATACTATAATATACTCCCTCCGTTTCAATTTAGTTGTCGTTTTATGATTTAAATTTTGTTTCATAATAGTTGTCGTTTTAGGTTTTCAATGCAAATGTTTGGTGAAAATTCCAGTTTTATCCCTACTGTTTTAATGTTTTGACCAATGAAATTTTTATAAAATATATTAATAAAGGGTAAAACAGAAAATTTAATGCTTTTCTTAATTTGTATGAAAAAACTTTAAACGACAACTAAAACGAAACGGAGGAAGTATTTTATTAATTTTTGTTTCATGATGATGATTACGGACAGGAGCTGGTTCCCACTTTTTCGCTGTTTATGAAATTTACTCTCACTGTTTGATGAAAGCAATCATAAATCTCGCTGAAAGCTACCCTTTATTTGTTTTAATCTTTAATTTGGTGCTTGACTTGACACTGATTGGATTGCCTCCTCCTCACCTCACCTCTGTATCTAGCACTTTGTCCATGTATGTATACTCTTTTTTTTTTTTTTTTTAATTTGTGTCTAGTTTTCATCTGATAAGTCGGACTTGTTTTGTTATATGGTTTTTGTTTTGAAGACGTCCCTGGTGAAATTTCAAGCACGGGAAGTGTGTGTTTGTTAGATGGAGCGGTATGAAGTCTTGGAGCAGATCGGGAAAGGGTCCTTTGGCTCTGCTCTTCTTGTCAGACACAAACAAGAACGCAACAAGTATTCTATTCTCTCTCATTCATTCCTCTGCTTGTTGCTTCTGGTGATTCCATTGCTCTTATCATATTCACTACTTTACAGATACGTTTTGAAAAAGATTCGTCTCGCCCGCCAGTCTGATAGGGCTCGCCGATCAGCTCATCAGGAGGTTTGCTGTTGTTTTTTTTTATTTTTATTTTACTCGACCAAAGTTGGTGGTCTTGGATTAAGATGATGAGTTTGGACCTCCTCCCACTCATGTTTCAGATGGAGCTCATTTCTACTGTCCGCAATCCATTTGTTGTCGAGTACAAAGATTCATGGGTTGAAAAGGTCTCTTCTCCTCATCATCTCCTTTTTCTCATTATTCTTCTGGCTGCTTGCTCTAATCATCATCTTTCTTGTTTCCAGGGTTGCTATGTGTGCATCGTTATTGGATATTGTGAAGGCGGAGACATGTATGTAACACATAGTTTTTCCCCATCACAAAATTTTGATTTTTTTTTTTTATTATAACAAATTGGCTCTTTTTCTCAACTTGAATTTTGCAGGACAGAGACCATAAAAAGAGCATGTGGTGTTCATTTTCCTGAAGAGGTTCGTCTCACCCATCTTTTCTTTGCTAACTCTTCCCTTCTTTCTTACGATCTATGGCTGAATTTAATATTTGAAGAAACAACCACCAAATGTTGCAGAAACTCTGCCAATGGCTTGTCCAACTATTAATGGCCCTCGATTATCTTCACTCCAACCATATTCTTCACCGCGATGTCAAGGTAAACATGTAACCTCATTCACTTTCAGAATTTTGCTCCTTTCATGTTCCAAACATCTAAATCTCGCTCACATGTCTTTTCAGTGTTCTAACATATTCTTGACAAAAGAGCAAGACATACGGCTTGGTAAGTTTGTAGATTCATTTATCTTTAAGCCTTTTTTGTCAGTTACTAACGCATCCACAATTTCGGTCTCAGGTGACTTTGGACTCGCTAAGATTCTAACTTCTGATGACCTTACATCCTCTGTAAGTTATGAACAGTGACATTAAGCAAATCTTGTGTTGTTTTCGAGACAGAATAATGATAAGTCAGTGCGTTCATAGGTTGTTGGAACTCCAAGCTACATGTGTCCTGAGCTTCTTGCTGACATACCTTACGGATCAAAGTCAGACATTTGGTCTTTGGGTATAATAACTATACATTCTTCTTTGATTTTTTTTTTTTTCTTATAATCCTACACTTATTCACCTGGTGACTAACGCTTAATGCATCATCATGGCAAATAGGATGCTGCATGTATGAAATGGCTGCTCATAAACCTCCATTCAAAGCTTCCGTAAGTATCCTTAAAGTTTGTTGATCTTTTAATCTCGATTTTGGCATTAATATACATAATCTAAAATGTGAAATCTTGATTGCAGGATGTGCAGACATTGATCACCAAAATACACAAGTTGATAATGGATCCTATTCCGGCCATGTATTCCGGCTCATTGTAAGCCTGAAATCATTTCCTCTGTTAACACTAACCGGCGTTGCTGTACCAACCTCTTTTCCTCCCTTATCTGCAGCCGAGGCCTTATCAAAAGCATGTTGAGGAAAAATCCTGAACTCAGGCCAAGTGTATGGCTCCTGTAATGCTTATTTGCTTTTGTTGATGAGTAATCCGTTTCTGGTTAATCTGTAGTTGAACTAGGCATTGTTATTAACTCGCTGCAGGCTAACGAGCTGCTTAACCATCCTCATCTTCAGCCTTACATCAGTATGGTTTATCTGAAGCTAGAGAGCCCCAGAAGAAGCACTTATCCACTCCAATTTTCTGAGAGTTGCGAGACAGAGAAGGAAAGAAGGCGTTCATCATTCAGCAATGACAGGAGATTGAATCCGAGTGTCTCTGATACAGAAGCAGGTTCTGTTTCTTCTTCAGGAAAAGCATCTCATTCACCAATGTTTAATGGAAGAAAAGTGTCAGAAGTAACTGTGGGAGTCGTGAGAGAAGAAATTGTTCCTCAAAGGCAAGAGGGAGTGAAGAAGCAATCAAGTGCAGCCAGAACACCAAGAGTGGCTGGGACCTCAGCTAAAGCGTCTGGCATGCCAAGGAGGCTTGAAACACCGTCAAGCACGCCGCGTACTGTTTCCAAACATGAAGTGGTAAGAAGAAAAACTCAAAGCTTAAAGTTGTTGAGATACAATCAGGGAGTGATCTATATATGTTCTTTGCTGTGTTTAGATTAAGGTATCGAATCCTACAGACAGGAGAAGGAGAGTATCTCTGCCGTTGGCCGTGGAAAATCCTTACATTTACGAATCGGATATTACTGCTCTTTGTGGCCTGAATTCACCGGATGTTTCTGTAAACGCTCCAAGAATCGACAAGATCGCTGAATTCCCTGAAGATGTCTTCCAAAACCAAAACAGAGAGACAGCCTCAAGAGCAGTAGCTAGGCGCTCTTTTTCTTCTACTCCTCGGCCTCATGGTGAGGACAATACCAATCGTTCGATCACGAAGGACAAATGTACTGTACAGACAAGGTCAGTTTCGGAGGTAAAACAGAGAAGGTTCGACACGTCATCGTATCAGCAGCGTGCGGAGGCTCTGGAGGGACTGCTGGAGTTCAGTGCAAGGCTTTTGCAGCAGGAACGGTACGATGAGCTTGGGGTTCTGCTTAAACCCTTTGGAGCCGAGAGGGTATCTTCGAGGGAGACGGCCATATGGCTGACCAAGAGCTTCAAAGAAGCTTCCGTGTAGACGAAGCAACCACAACCAGCGCTTTTCTCTCTTGGCTTGGCTTGCATTTGTCCTTGCTGTGTGGTTTGTATATAAATAAAAACGGCGATGCATTCGGTTCTGACTGCTTAAAACGGCATGTTATCCGATTGGCTAAGCTTGCGATTTGGGCTGTGTTGGGCCACTACGTTAGTGGATTGTTTTGAAAATGTGTGGGCTTCTTTCTTTTTGCAATAAACATTACAAAACTTGTGTGTGAGAGAATTAGGAAATCGGGAGAAGAAATGGCAGAAGCAGAGATTCTTGAGCCCTATCAACTGTCCTTCTCGGATCTTCTTTTGTCCTCTCGCTTTCATTCTTCTTCTCCGAGTGACGACCGTATCTCGAGAAATGTGATGGACGCTCTTGGCCCCACTGGTCCTGGTCTCCTTTGTATCACCGGCGTTCTTGGCTCCGCCCTTCTCCGCCGTAAACTCCTTCCTATGGCTCGGAAGCTGGCTCTGCTTGATCCGGACAAGCGGAAACGCTTTCTCAAGGTAATATGCAGGCAATTTTAACCCTATTTCACAGATTTCCATTATATCCAAGTTGTGTTTGAGTACGATTGGTGCTTTGTTCTCAAGTTTGGAACTTTGATTAGTGTTAGTTGGTCCATCACTGATTCTGTGTGTTTCATTCTTCGTTACTGCCAAAAAGGAGCACCACTTGGGTAGCGACCTTCCTCTCAAGAATCCAGAACGAGATGTCTCCTCTTTTGCAATGCAGCTCAATTATGAAAGAACAACTTGTATATCTTCACTGGAAAAGCTGTGGTTCGATGAGGCTGTAGCAAAACTGGACTTGCACCAGGAGGATGATGAGTTCACTAATCTTGGTGGTGCTTTTAAAGAACTAGGGTTCTGCATGAGGGAATTGGGCTTGTCTATAGCTCGTATTTGCGACAGGGATATTGGTGGAGGCTTGCTGGAGGAGAGTCTACTGGAATCTTGCACAGCCAAAGGACGACTCATACATTACCACTCAGCTGCAGATAAATGTGCTCTCAGAGAAGCCGAGAGCAGAAACCAATCTGGTAAACGAGTATCGAGTAAGAGGAGAGTCCAGAATGCTGCTGAGCAAGAGGGGAACCATAGAAGTGGAGCTGGTTTGAGTGGGAGCCACTTCAATCTGTGGCAACAGTGGCATTACGATTATGGAATCTTTACTGTTCTCACGGATCCTATGTTTCTATCGTCCTACTCCTACCAGGAATGCACTTTGATGAGCAGCCATTCTTGTCTGCAGATCTATCATCCCAGCAAGAACAAGTTCTACATGGTCAAGACTCCACAGGACAGTTTTATTGTTCAAATTGGAGAATCTGCTGATATTTTGTCCAAAGGGAAGCTACGGTCGACCCTTCACTGTGTGTGCAAACCAGAGAAGCTGGATCACATAAGCCGTGAGACATTTGTGGTGTTCTTACAGCCAAAGTGGAGCCAAACTTTTTCAGTCTCAGAATATACAATGGAACATCTAAGGTCAGATTCTCTACAGAGACAGCTCACTGATACGGATGAGATCATCCCTAGACCAGATATACAAAAAATTGTTCCACCTCTGTCGTCTCGGTTAAGGGATGGGATGACTTTTGCCGAGTTTTCTCGCGAAACCACAAAGCAGTACTACGGAGGGAGTGGTTTGCAATCTAATAGATAGCCGTCCTAGTTCGTGCCCCAGGTAAATAGCTTGTTTGTCTAATATTTAGACTTTAGGTAGTTAAATTCAGAATAATCTTTAGGTAATGAGTAGTTGAAGGCAAGAAGAATGAGCCACGAGGGTTAGTACTAAAAGAGATTAGATTAAAGGGAGAGTTGGGATTCGTTATGTGTGCTTCGATGTTGGAGCCAAAACAGGGGAAGCTGTTACATCGTTTTCACAGACAAAAGCTCTCTCTTTCAAACATGCTTTTTTTGTTTGTTGTTGTTGCTCTTCTTTAGTCTCTCTCTGTGACTCAGTTTATGTTCCTGTTGTGTCTCCCCCGATGCTGTTCCAAACTTACATCTCTTTGTTTGTTTGTGTGCTTTCAAGCGTCGCATTGAGACAAAGTGGTGTTATTAAAGTAAAAGCTGCCTCTACACAGATTCCTTTAGGGAATCAATCTTTTTTTTGTCATTTTTGATATATCGTTTTTTCATGAATGGTTTTTGTACGTGTAGATCAAATCGACAAAAGGGTTTATCATTCAAAGAAACAATAAAATGGAAAAGAGGGTTCATCATTCAAAGTGCAGATACATTCAATGTTAATAGGTATAAAATACAAAACGTCCATACAAGAACAATGATTGCAAGGCAAAGGAATAATCAGAGAGACAAAATGACATTTTTGTAAGGGATTTGATTATAAAGAATGGAAAATGTGGGTATCCCTAGAAATTAGACAGAGCAAAAGGGAATAAAGGATGTATCTTTATTAAGTGGTCACCCACCTATAGTTTCCAAAGTGCATATATATTTTTTATATAGATACACATGATGATATTTTGAATTATCCGATAATATACGTGTTTATAGATATCAAAATGCTCTAATATTAATGTGTATATATATATTGATCAACAATCACATGTTAATTTGAGCAAAGATGAAAGAAAATCAAAAGTTTTGATTGTGTAGCCTGAAGAAAACCTTGGATATATAGTATTGGAATGAATAATTGCCAAGTTGTGTCATTGAAGTGGAAAAGAGACAGAGAGAAGAAGGTGACGTAAGGGAAAGCACGCCAAGGCAGCATGTGTGAATGTACGCAAAGGTCGCAGCTTTGTGTTTCAAAACCGAAGCAAAAGGGACCAAACACAGTCGTTTCACTTCTTTACTCTCATCTTTTGTCTTCCTCCCATATTCTCACACCAATATTCAGCTATATCCATTAGTTAACCAACAAAACATTCTCTAATCGGGTACAAATCCAAAGAGTAATCTCATCTTTACTCTTTGGTCCATTGTCTACAACAATAAACCAATTTCATCCTTGATTGATTAAGACACTAAAACGTAAACATTTATGCTTTTCTTGATTTTTGAAACACAACACTAAACGCAAATTCAACTCTCTCTTTTTTTTTTTTTTGTTAATTGAAACATAAATGTCTTATAACCTATTACTCAGGTATACCAATGTTGTGATTATTTATTTGATTAAATTAAGAAAGGCAAATAAATGGATGACTTTATTCCCTCCTTTTTTTTCAAGACTCTTTGATAAAGTAAAATTTATGTGTAATAAACAATTGGCAAAGATGCGGCCTTATTATTGAAAAGGGACGTCTTTTTTAGTATCCATTATTTACGCAACGACTATATATATGCCAAGAGTACTACTACTCCTACTCCCATCGAAATAATCACATTTTCTTTAGGAGAAAAAGAAAAGGTAAAACACCACCTATACGTTCTTTGTCTATCTATAGTTTCTATATATATTTACACACACAAGTTTCCTAGTCAAGCTCTGAAGTCGAAGCAAAGTCAAGAGAGAGAGAAAAAAAAAAAAAGGATGGAGAGAGAACTTAGACGACCGAACCCAATCAACAGCTCTCGCCGGCCAGAGATATTTTCTTCTGGCGGTAGTAGTACTCAACTACCGGAAAGCCCACGAGGCCCAATGGAGTTCTTGTCTAGATCCTGGAGTGTCTCCGCCTTGGAAGTCTCCAGAGCTCTCCACACAGCCAAATCAGCTTCGGCCACCAACAGGCCTCCCTCATCCATTAACACTCCGATACCGGAAGAAACGTTAAACCCTGAGAAAGAAGAATGTCCGCCGGAGAACACAAGCAACAATAGTAGTGTTAGTAGCCAGTTCTCGTTCGCTGCCTCGGCCACTTCACAGCTTGTTCTTGAGCGCATAATGTCTCAATCGGTACGGTTACATAGTTTTGGATACACTCTGTTTTTGTAGCAGCGATCTTGATGAGTTTCTGTTTTGAAAAATGAAGGAGGTGTCACCGTTAACGTCGGGGAGGCTATCACACAGCAGCGGCCCACTCAACGGCGGCGGTTCTTTTACGGAGACAGACAGTCCTCCCATCTCCCCCTCTGATGACTTCGACGACGTCGTCAAGGTACTTGTGCACTATAAACCTTGTTCATCATTTTTATCTCTTGTACTTTGAACGTAAGTCGCATACAGTACTTTAGAGTTTGTTATCAAAGTAAAGAAAATATATGAGTCAAGAGAAAACTTTCTTTTATTTTTTACAGACAAGAACAGATTTGACTTTGACTCTCCACTTTACAACCTGTGTTTGTTTACTTTAGCCTATCACTCACTTCACCCACATTAAAAAAAAATTAAATATTTGTTTGTTTCCCATTCATTCATGTATATTAGTAGTAATAGATGACCAATCTTTAGTTGGTAGAAAGTCTCCTTAAATTTGAGGAAATGCTGCCAGGGATTAGCCTTCTGGGTCTTGGGACTATAAAAGTAAAGCGGGTCGGCGATCATTAGAGCGATACTTATGCAGTTTCAAAGTTTATTTTTTTATTGAATGCTCTGTCTCTACTGCATTTACTTGATGAATTGGGATTCATAAAAGATTAAAGACATAGTTGGACACAGGAATAGGAATGTGACCGTAACGCCTAGAACTACTCTATGTTTGGCTCATTTTAAGAAACTTGTCGGGAAATGCTCTTAGAGGGCAGTCACTTTACCTCCTTTTCCAAGCAATTAATAACCCTTCCTTTGCTTTTGTAGTCAAATATAATGCGATCAACTTGTTCGAATGTTCATTAACTTAGCTTATCTAATCCAATCCTAATGCAGTATTTTCGCACCCACAACACCATACAGCCTCTCTTCTCCGGCACAGGAGGCAGCCGTGGTACCACTGGAAATGGGAGCAATACCCCCATGGCTGGAACCGGCCCAAAGACAGTTGGTAGGTGGCTCAAGGACCGTAAGGAAAAGAAGAAAGAAGAGACTAGAGCTCAGAATGCACAGGTCCACGCAGCTGTTTCTGTTGCAGCGGTTGCATCTGCCGTGGCAGCTGTTGCAGCAGCCACAGCTGCTTCTTCACCTGGTAAAAACGAGCAGATGGCCAGAATCGATATGGCCATGGCTTCTGCGGCTGCTCTGGTGGCTGCTCAGTGTGTGGAGGCTGCAGAAATCATGGGAGCAGAAAGGGATTTTCTGACTTCCGTTGTGAGCTCTGCAGTGAATGTTAAGTCCCATGACGATATTGTCACCCTTACTGCAGCTGCTGCAACAGGTACTGCATGACAAGGTAGTCGTCAAAGTTACTTCTGTAGAGATTCCATACGTGAATTCACCCCTTTTATTTTATTTTGCAGCTCTGCGAGGAGCAGCTACACTCAAGGCAAGAGCGCTTAAAGAAGTATGGAACATAGCTGCAGTATTACCAGCCGAGAAAGGAACAAGTTCAGCTTTGTGTGGCCAGGTTGACACAAAGCACAGTGATAGCAGCTTTAGTGGAGAATTACCTGTTGCTGGGGAAGACTTCCTTGGCGTCTGTAACCAGGAACTACTAGCTAAAGGCACTGAGCTCCTCAAACGAACTCGTGGAGGTACTCCAAAGCTACACTCGTATAAATGATTTGTGAACAGAGTATAAAATAAAGGTCGCTGACCTTGAACTTTGAAAGCAGGTGATCTCCACTGGAAGATTGTCTCTGTCTACATCAACAAAGCAGGCCAAGTTGTGCTGAAAATGAAAAGTAAACACGTTGGAGGGACCTTCACAAAGAAGAAGAAACGTAGGTTCTTCTCCGCACAAACATCTCCTCTCTTACACTAGCCTGGCTTTTGAACTAGAGCTAGAAAGATAATACGACTCATAATTGATTTGGACTTGTAATGCAGATATGGTGCTTGAAGTGAGAAAAGATATACCTGCATGGGCTGGCAGGGATCTTTTCAACGGAGACAAGCATCATTACTTTGGCTTAAAGACGGAAACAAAGAGGGTCGTTGAATTTGAGTGCAGAAACCAACGGGAATACGAGATATGGACTCAGGGCGTTTGCCGCCTACTTGCCATTGCAGCTGAGAGGAAGCAGAAAAGTTCCATGTGCAAATGGATGGCACCTTAACAACATAAACTAGGAGAGAAGTAGATGCTTTGTGGAACGAAGTGCTTATTATAAGAATAGGTTGAAACATAATGGAGTAGAAGACATGCATTCCCATTTGTAAAATCTTTTTTATTCCATTGATTGAGGAGATATGACTTCTAAAGCTAACAACATTCAGAAGTAGAATGTATTGGATTCCACTATCATGTTACAGGCAGCGTTCAACTTTTCTTTACAAGCCAAATTTCTTTTTGCAGACAAAAGAATTTTAGAAGATAGCAATAATAACATACATAGTCTTATGAGAAATCTGAAAAAGACGAGAGTGCCTTAACTATCAGCAGCCCTTAAGAGAGTGAGCAGAGATAGGAAGAGATTAATGACATCCAAATAAAGAGAAACTGCAGCCCAGATGTACTCGTCATAGGAGTGCCTCTTGATCAAGTTGTCGGTATCATATACAATGTAGCCACAGAAGATGATGGAAGCCAAACAACCATAGATCATCACTGAGATCTTTCCTAAAGGGAAGAGAATCTGCAGCCAGGATAGAATTAGGCTATAATTGTGGAAGAAGAGAAGAAGATGACGGATACGATAGATACACCTGGATGAAGGAAAACACCATGAGGACAATGACAGCACCGAACAAGAAAGGTCCGAGGAAGTTGAAGTCATGGCCTCTTTTGGCAGCCCAGAAAGTGTAGAGAGTGAGGGATATGACCACAACAGAGGTCAAAATCACAGATTCCAGAATCACCTTCCCTGTAATCAAACCAAATATCACCAATCATGCACGTTAGGATATGAACAGGGAGGGATAGGACAGACATACCGCTTGTAAAGGCGCAGGTCAAGCCAACCGCAAAGGCAAGAGCGACGGTGAAAATGCCGAGCAAGAGATAGTTCACAGGGTGCTTCTGGTGATAGTAATACAATGGACACATAACTGCACGCAAAAACGACAAAGCAGATCAAAGAGAGTCGGAGGAATTGAAGAAGGATCCAAATCCCGTTTCAGTACCAATCAATGGAGTGAAAATAACAAGTATGTAGAGAGCGAAGCCGGCGGTGGTGGTGGTGAAGAAGACAGAAATCGAATGAACCTTAACGACGGTGGCAGCCACGGCGATTGTAACGAGCAACTGGATGGAGATGATTGAATAGACCTTGCGGATGAAAGACCATCGGAGCTCGGGGCTCTCCAACATCATCGGGTATAGAGGCGTCTGAGCCGACTCCAAATCATGCTTCTGGTTCCACATCTTCCCAATTCGTTTTTTGTTTTGTCAACGCCGGCGATTGAGAGCGATCCCGGTTCCTCCTTGAAGAAGAAGATATATGTAAAGACGAAGAGAGAACCTTCCCGATACGTCGCGCAATTAACAATTTAATCAGACGGCTCTGATCTTGACACCTGGATTTAAATATTCGGTGGGCCGGACTCTGAAGAGAGAAACAATGATTCATTTCATTTATTTCGGCCCATATCCATTGGATTTGATTCTTTTCACATCATTCATTGCCGTGGGTTGGATTTTGCCAAATGAGTTCCCCTTAAATACAAACCAACTTGTGAACTAAGATTGACTTCTTATACTATCATGTTCCAACTTACAAACAAAACAATTATGGCTTAGACCAAAACATTAACGACTTCAATTATAAGAAAAGAATGCACACATATTTGGTCCTAGCTTAGCTTTCATGATTAGTTCAGTAATCTTGATTTTCCTGGTAAAAAAAATTAGATGCACCTACAAGGTATGAGTTGTAATTGAATGTTAGTGCATTAGATCCACGAAAACAAGATTACAACGAGGTGATAGTAGTCAGTCACTTCACTTCCAGAGAATGAAGCGGAAGAGGCTACCAGTATGCAACTCACCCATATGATGCATTTAGGTTCTCTGCCACATGAAAGCTCTTGTTTTCTACTTCAACCTACAATTACAAGGTTGACCAATTTTATTATTAACTTGTACCCTTTCCCTGGCCGATAGTACAAGCTTCTCGAGTTAGCTTTACACATTTGTTTTGTAATTTCTTGGGAACATACCAATAACTCGTTAAACATGGTTGGAACTGGTTGAGCCTGCTTCAATTGCAATGCACCAAAAGTTCTATCTGTTGAAAAAAGATATATATAAACATGACTGACTACGTGAAAGATCACTCTATATCCCATAAGGAACATGTTGGGCAACCCCGTTGTGATCAGAGAAACTCACATGGCAGTGCATATGTATTCTTCATCTGCAATCCCGAAGCAAACTCATCTATGTTGCCACCCACATATTGCTCTTTTGGTTGGCTCTGCCAGTCTATATTGGATTGTAGAGGAACCACGACTGCAGCCATATTATCCATACTTCCCTTCTCAAAGGCAGTATTAACCAAGCAGTCTGCCAAAGAAACTGAGCAATATGAAGGCACTCCTGCTCCAAAGCTAGTTTGATTCTTTACTTCCCACAGACGATCGCAGACATCTTGCACCTCTAACTTCTCAAAGATACCATCAGATGACACTACCAAGTAGCTGTCATTAGCCAGTAGAGGCTGCCAGTCCATCACCTCAGGTGCAGAGATGACACCGTAACTGAAATAGATTTCAAAACTCACATTTCATCTTCTCATAGTGTAAAGCAGCTAGAATCAAGTTCTGAGAGATTCTAATATACAACTAGCAATGCCTACCTTTTATAAGTAAGGTCACCAATTGAACGGGAGACGGCCAGCTGACCATTTACCCGTGGCACACCGGCCCACTCAGTGACATAACCTCCTGCAGCTTTAACGCGGAGCATTTCATCCTCTCTATCTGGGTGATGGTCCTTAGTCAATTCTTTGGCAATAAAACGTATGAGTCCATTGCGATGTTCCAGCTTAAAATCAGAGAACCTTGATGAGGAAGAGTCTCGATTGCGCTTACGCTCTCTGTACAACTTTATTGAAGTAGCTGCAATAAACAAACACCAAAGAAGAAACATTCATTCATTCCCCTATACTCTTAAGTACAATAGTGGCTTCACAAGGTTGGTTATGTAGCTTGGTTATAGTCTAAAAAGGGATTTTGCAAACCTCTAGCCTCTTCAGGAGTCTCAAATTTTTCGGAACACAAAAGTGCCTTAGAATCACCGATGCTAGCAACCAGTAGTTGACCATCTGCGGTAAGTGCAACTGTGGCCGTTGAACCTGAATCCAACTTTCGGTTAGATGCTTCCTGTATTACAACAGAGTCTAATCACGCTACTGGAAAAAAAAAGAAAGGATAGAGTAGAAGGCGTGACTACTACACCTTAGTAAATGTTGCATCAATATCGTGGATAGCTCTGAGCAAGGCTTCTTTCAGAATATCCAAGTGAAGAGAATCACCAAAATTGAGCGGCGATGAATCTTGGAACCTGTGAAAAATTGAGACAGGGATTCAAAATCACATCTGGCGGGAGAGAGTAAACATTCCCTGTCAGTGTCTCTACCTTTGGAAATTGAGGTCGTATAGATGCATGAGAGGATTTGGTAGCGTTCCAGAGAGCTCCTTGGAAAAAGTGGCGTCGAGGAGAAAGTAAGTGTGGAGAGCAAAATAATCCAACAAAAGTTGTGAAGCCATCTCACTGGCTTCTGCACCATTGTGGCCGTCAAAGACAGCGGCGATTCCAACCACAACATCCGTTGGTGTTCCAGTCTTCTTGCCTGCGAATGAATCATCTTATCTTGGGGAATCAAAAACAACTAATTCTCTTGGCGATCCCAAATCAAGCAAGCAAGCAACTGATGCATACCGGGAAAGGGAATGCGAAGATCAAGAGCGCAGAGAAGACGATCCTCCTGGTATTTCCTCCGACCTTGAATCGCCGCCATGTGGCAACGACTGGAGGAGGAGGATAAGGATCGGCGATTCCAAAGAGGGCAATTGGGAGATCGGAACACGGCCGGAGCTCCACCATGTTTGTAAATACTCAAACAGGTTGTTGAAGATTCCGCGGCACCGTTGTTAATAATTACAAGCATAAATAAACAAAGTTTCAACATTTTTCACCACCGACGTCATCTCCCGTGAAAAAAAAAACAACTCATATTTTCTACCACGCTTATTTCTTTACCAACCTAATTTTAGGTCAAAAAAAAAATTATGGACAACAAATTAGTTACAAAAGGTAAATTAATTTCTCTCCCTTATAAGAAAGACAAGAAGCAAAAAAAGTTATTTTTCAGGTAACTTGGATGGATGCCCTTTGATATCAACAAAATCTTCCCTTGCTCGTTCCAACCTTGTTCCTACATAATCCACAGTAGCTCATATTCCTTTTTTACATTCATCGTTATTTAACTTCACACACTAGAGTTTTGCTTCTTATAATTTCAGTTACTGGGACTGGGAACTCTAATATTTCAGCATTACAGCCTATTGTTCCCATTATATTCAGCCACCACTTGTTTGTCAATATTTTATCATTCTCGATCTTCTAAGCAGACTCATCGTTTGGTAAAATGTAGCAAGAAGATATAAATGTCTTACTCTTCTCTACACTTAGGAGCTGGGAGGGGGCTGGAAATAAGGGTGCTGCAGAGCCTCATCTACGGTTACTCTGTCCTCCTGCACTCCCACAATATAAATCCTTATGTGTCAACATGCCCATTCCAATTCCACAACTATGCTACAAGGTTTAATGGAGAAAAGACAGAGGATCTCACAGGGTACCACTGTAATAGACCCCTCACCAACCTTAACGCCCAAACATTTGGAAACCTGCATTTTCCACCATATGCACATTTGAATATGTAACAAATTCCTGTCAACACCATCAATTTAAGGAATCATCACACCCACCCAATCTTCAGAGGGTCTCTACTCTTTATCTGTTCTGCAAAAAACTCTTCAGAGCATTTCCATGACGCAAGTGAAATCCCACCCTACATACATCACAGGATATATTCGATAAAATATGCATGGATCGCTATGAGACCAAACAAAAGAACAAAAAAAAGCTGAATGTGCTTAGCAAGAATATCTCAGAAACATAATCTCGTATCAAATTTAATAACCAATCTCAGCCAAAAGAACAAACTGTCCTTTACCTGCTTTGCGCTGGCGCCACCATGTTTTAAAGAACTACCTGGGATTAAGATGCACATCTCCATAAGGGATCGAAGCCTGTCACCGAAATTGAAACTCGAACAGATAAATACTTGTCCAGAGAGCATTGTGGTGGTCAATTTCAAAACGAAATGATTTACTCCTAAGTTAAACTTACTTGTATGCAAGCTCTTTAAAGTTTTCACTCCAACCTCTGATATGTTGATCCAAAAGGGCACGTGTAACAGAACTAATCTCAAAAACATTGGGTGATCCTAAAATCATCTCTAACATCACAACCCCAACACTCCACATGTCGTATCTGCAAGAAAAAAGGGTGTCATATCTATATTTGGCGAGGGCAGTTGCAGCCACGCTTATAAAAATAGCAGGATCTCTCATACTTCAGTGTCAAACTGGTCGGTCCATGGTGCCAGCTACTGTTCATAATGGCTTCGGGTGGTGCATAATCATGAGTTTGTTCTGCTCTGAATTCAAGATAATCCAAAGTATTATGATGATCAGGATTCACAAACCGGACGAGGTTAAATTTCCCAAAAAAAAAACATACATAGAAAAGGAAGTACCTTGATGGACCTGTTGACCCATATAAATGTTTCATTGTATACTCATCAAGTGCACTGCCAAAGTCGATGATGCGCCTAAACAGTGATTATACGACCATAAGTTACCAGGAAACAAGAAATCACATAAGTGGAGGACCAAAAGACTTAAGTGCTGCAGAAGTGTAGAAATACATGGAGCACAATGAATAAACTAGAAACTGAAGAGTAATCTAAGTACATTTTAGTTTTGAAGTTATGATCTCCATTTGGTACACCCTTTAAGCATCTTCCGGACTTGATGTCTTCAATGCATATCACCATATTCTCTTAGGAACATTGTAAATTAATTTCCGTGAGAATAATCATCTGCCACAGATTGCACACTATATGAACTATCATAAAAATCAACAAGTTTCTTACCGGGTTTTATATCTCTGTGAGTAATGTTGCGATCATGGCATGCCTTTAGACCTAGCAACTGAAAAGAAGAATAAAACATAAAGGAATATAGTAAGCACAAATAGAATTAGATTCAAACAAAGGAAGGAAATCAGAACTTCTCAAATTCCTATGCACATACCAATTGCCATATTATTCTCCGCATTTCTTCTTTTCCTGATTCTGTCGTCTTCAACCAGGTCCACCACTTCGACGGACGAAGTATCTGCCCGTGACTTGCTTCTTCAGCCTTTTCACCAGCAGAGCTATTCTCTGCTTCTTCGGCAGTGTACATCAGCTTTGATAAAGATACACCCTCGTGGTGAAACACAAGCCATATGTCATTATATCGAGATTCAAAATACTCTATGTATCTAGCAATATGTTTCAAACCCTCTTCAGAGAGACCCAATCCTGATGACGCTGGTTGAGAACTTGACGTTTGCGTTGCAGAAGAACTCTCACTTATATTATATGCATTTAGAAACAGTTCACCAAAATGCTTCTCCCTTAGACCACTTAAATAAACAGTTGGTCCTCTCTCTACCTGTTTAGGAAAAATAATGGGAAAATGAAGTAATTAAGTTTTAGAAGGATTTGCATCTACATGTCCTTATATAGGTCGAATAGATGACATAACGAATAGGTCAATTTGAAACATTATTTTTATTATAAGCAATTAACACAGGAAAACTAAACTAAAGAGAGGTGCCCACATCACAGATACATGACTTCTCACCATCACTCTAAGCATACAAAGCCAGAGAAAAGCGAAACGAAAGTTGCAGACACATCATTTTCGAAGGAAAATTTTGAAAAAATCCCAAAAAGAACACATACCATTATCCGCTTCAAAATGAAGGAGTTATTAGGACCATCAGCATCATAATGAACACCATTTTTCGATGTATTTTTATCTTCATCGATCGAACTAGTAGCGTTATTTCCTTCATAGCAATTCCAGTGAAATGCCAACCATACCTCACCAAATGCACCACGCCCAAATTTTTTCTTCAGCACATAGCTAAAAAATCACATGGTATTATACAATTTTATCAGCCATTTTAAAAGAAATTTCTTTTTCCTATTTTGAAACAATTGTTTCCATAATATGGAGACACTAATGATAAACCATCATGTTTCTCCGTGTAGAAACCATCTAACCAAAAGGCAACAAGAAGACATGACATGCGCAAAAAAAATGCCATTTGACTACATAGACAAGTGCACTGAAGAAAAAACAAGAGCATGAAAAACAAAGCATTTGGCATAGGTTGCTAATCACAGGACTACCTAAGATCATGTAAAAGGATCTCAGCTATCAACGATGATACAAAAGAGGGAAAAAATGAACAATGCCAAAGGAAAAGAAGAAGGCACTCAAGTCCGGAAATGAAATAACTGATCAAGAAAAAGAAAAGGCACCTTGAGTCAGGAAATGGAATCTCATCCGTCCCGTTATTAGCACCAAAACCATGTAAGGGTACAGATTCAAGTAACCCAAGGAAAGTAGCAAAACTATCAGGATTGATGCACTGATCTTGATTCTCGTTGGTAGCCGTTCCAGAAGATAAACACCAGCCTTTTTCATCGGAAAAAAATTCAGATGCACAAAAAAGGGGGAAAATCAGGAATTTTATTATGACTAAACGCTAGTTCATTGGAACCAAAAACCGACAACAATAAGGTTTCTGATATAAAAGAAGATTCCACTGTGAATTTTTTTCATTTACCAGGGAATGGCTCGGCAGATGCAGGTAGAACCTGAGGTAAGTCACCCATGTAACCGTTCAAATTGTCCATTTGCCCTTGAGACGCCCCAATAAGGTTCTCTGACATATAAAAGCGGCAAAAACTTCCGTTTTTAACTTCAACCTAGCACAAGAAGCATGGCCCAGATCATATAAGTTATAAGATTTTCCAGGTCAGTGATGTAAACTTTTGTAACGGTTGATAAAAAAAAATAGAGCTGACCACCCCCTCATTCTTGCAATTCAAAATCAACAGTTATAAGAAGGTACATTTTACAATAGAAGTCATAAGCTTAATCTGGGAATATTGGAATAGTGACATTGTGTCAAGTGGGTCATACCAATAACCTGTTAAACATGGTTGCAAGTGGTTGAGCCTGTTTCAATTGCAATGGACCCAAATTTATATCATTAGGCACTGTCGAAAAGAAAAAAATTGATTAGCACATAAATTGTATGGACGATTATCAACAAAGCTTAAAACCCTACATTTCATAATCAGGATGTTAGGGAATTTGATTGCAACCAGAGAAACTCACATGGAAGCGCACAGTTGTTAGTGGGTAGTGCTGAAGCAATCTTATCTTTGTTGTCATTCATGCTCTGCTCTTTCCAGTGGAGCTGCGTAACTAGATTCGATTTTAGAGGAACAACAACAGCAGCCATATTATCCATACTTCCCTTCTCAAAGGCAGTATTAACCAAGCAGTCTGCCAAAGAAATTGAGCAGTATGAAGGCACTCCTGCTCCAGAGCTAGTTTGATTGTTTACTTCCCACAGACGATCACATACTTCTTGCACCTCCAACTTCTCAAAGATGCCATCCGATGATACTACCAAGTAGCTGTCATTAGCCAGTAGAGGCTGCCAGTCCATCACCTCAGGTGCAGAGATGACACCGTAACTGAAAGAGATATCAAAACTCACACTTTATCATGTAAACGAGAGTAAGTATAACAAAAGAAACACGACTTTCAGCAATAATCATGTTCAGCTGAACAGAGAGACACTAACATACAACAAGCAATGCCTACCTTTTATAAGTAAGGTCACCAATTGAACGGGAGACAGTCAGCTGGCCATTCACTCGTGGCACACCGGCCCACTCTGTGACATAACCTCCTGCAGCTTCAACACGAATCTTTTCATCCTCCCTATTTGGGTGATGGTCCTTTGTCAATTCTTTGGCAATGAAATGCAGTAGTCCATTGCCATGTTCCAGTTTAAAGTCAGAGAACCTTGATGGTGAAGAGCCTCGATTGCGCCTTCGCTCTCTGTACAACTTCACCAAAGTACCTGCAATAAACAAACACCATTGCAACAAACTGTTTATAAATAATACAATACTGGCTTTCTGTTAGGCAACTAGATTTTAGAAACAGATGTTGCTAAACCTCTAGCTTCTTCGAGAGTCTCAAATTTTTCAGAACACAGAAGTGCCTTTGAGTCACCGATACTAGCAACCATTAGTTGACCATCAGCTATAAGTGCAATTGTAGCAGTTGAACCTGAATTAAGCTTTCGGGCTGATGCTTCCTGGAGAAAAACAAAGTGTAGCTGGTTATATCCTTATCATGATACTAAAAAGGAAATATTTTTAACAAAGGTCGACGGATTGAGTAGAAGATATCCACTATACCTTAGTAAATGTGGCATCAATGTCATGGATCGCTCTCAGCAATGCTTCCTTCATAATATCCAAGTGAAGAGAATCATCAAAATTAAGTGGCAACGAGTCTCGAAACCTGCAAGAAAATTGGGACCCTACAATGAGGCGGACATGCCACACATTTCAAAATCACATTTCCTCACACATGGAAAGCCCTCGTAGCACCTTTATATGTTCATCATAATATTGTCAAAAATGACTAGTTGATATACGATAGAGAAATAAAATGAAACAGCACTCAACTGCATTTGAAAATCCAGGTTGTATAGATGCATGATATCATCCCGACTTACGCCATGCAAAATAACACCGTGCTCCCCTTTAGTTGGTAGTCGTCCAATCATCTTCCTCGTCATAGCAGAAAAAGTTGCGTCCAAGAGAAAGTTGATATGCAAAGCAAAGTAATCCAATAAAAGTTTTGAAGCCATTTCACTGGCTTCTGCACCATTATGTCCATCAAAGACTGCTGCAATTCCAACCAAAACATCCTTTGTTCCAGTCTTGCCTGCTCAAATAATGAGACAATGCCATCAATATTTCCTCCACAAGTGAGTTTAGCTAGTTAGAGAATGAAACTTTCAATTTTAATTCTTAGAACTAAGAATTTTAACTCGACAGGCCTAACAAAGCACATAGATACAAAATCCAAATGTTCCATACCGGGAAATGGAATGCGAAGATCAAGAGCACAGAGGAGACGATCCTCTTGGTAGTTCCTCCGACCTCTAATAGCTGCAGTATGGCAACGACCAGCTCCACTTTGACCCCAATTGTGGAGATTCCAACGAGGGCATTTGGGTGATTGAAACACGGCTGGAGCTCCGCCTTGTTTGTAAACGGCCAAACACGTCGAAGATTCCCCTCGACAGTTAATAGCCAATAAGAAGAGGACGAAAGATGTAATAAGGAGCCATGAATTGATGATGGAGGTCATCTTCTTCCCTGCATGGCTTGGGTGAGATTTGAAGGATTTATCTGAAAATAGCCAGAAAAAATCTATTTCTGGATTAAAAAGGATAAACATAACAAATTCCTAACCAACAGCAAGTAATGAAATGAAAACAGAATCGGAGAGTCCTAACCTATTGACATTCCAAACTCTTCTCTATATATTATGGAAAAGATTTGGGAAACTTAAGAAGAAGGAAGAGTGGAGCAAAATGGTTGCCAGTTAAATCTCAAGTAAAGGTCGAAAGCCTCTAATAGCCAGAAAATGAAGCTAGATCCACCCTTTTTCAAGTCTATGATAGAAGAAGTACTATGTAATACTTAGTAATATGGAAACAATTTTGAGTAGAAAAAATCAAGCTCCTCCCCTTTGAGCTCTTTGCTCGTAAACATGGATAATGGAAACAAAAATTAATTCTCTAGCAGTAGCAAAGTTAATCTGGTCGGTAAAGAGAAATCTATTGAAATCAAAGGTTGGTTGATTACCTGGAAGGAAGGCTCTGACTCTGACTCTGAGCTTCTCCGCCTGAAAACTCTCTAGGAGAAGAAGAAGAAAGAAGCATGCCCAGTTTTTTTCTTTCTGAAATTGAACCTTTGCCTTCATCGAAAGGGTTCCATTTAATTATTTCGGGTTTAGTAAAATATGGGCCAACGGTTCGTTAGAAGCCCAGTCCACTAGGACTACGCGGGGATATGTTGGTTGCCGATTGTCAAAAAGGAAACATGGACTAGTGATGATGAGGCTTGGAATGTTCTGTTGCGTTAAGGAGGAATCCAATCGTCGTTATATGTGTTTTCTTTTCTTTCTTAATTTTTAAGGTTTCTACTTCTTCTTCTTCTTCTTTTTCGCATAATCCAAAAAGTTGCATTAGCAGCCACATGGTCACCATGTTCGCAAGCACACTCCACGAGACACCATCATACGACGTGGCAATTTCTACCTTTTGTGACGTGTCTCAGGTTAGTTCCCCAAATCACAAGGAAACTTTGGACTCTTTAATACTCCCTCGAAAAATCCAATTGTACCAATCACTTTTGTGTATCTTTTTTTGTTGTCAACGGGAAGTCTTAACAACAAAAAATACGGGGGTTTTGGAATGTGTATCAATATTTGCAGTCCTTTGCTCTAACCGGCTAAGCATCATCGGCTTGGTCAACCTTTACCTAACCAACTGGCAACTACCTACCTGATCGCTCACTTTTCCGGGCCGGGATCAATAAGTAGAAGTCATAAAAAGATATGTTTGTATATCGGCTGTAAATGGTAACTTGTTTGTAGCGGAATTATCGTGGAAAAGTTGAGGAATTTTGTAATGTTACATCAGTTGAAGTAGCTGAATTATTGTGGAAAAGTGGAGAATTTTTTTTTTTTTTCTGTTGCTGGTTTTTTTTTTTGTGGAGAATTTTTTTTTGGACAAAACATGTTTATTCGTTTGCTCTTTGCTGAAAATTTTCAAAAAACTAGAATAATCTATAAATAATTTTTCGAATACTCATACTATCAATAATATTTTCTATAAACTAAAAAATAAAATAAATAGTTTGTTCGTAAATAATTAAAAAAAAAACTAAAAACATATATTTGTAACAGTTTTTGTTCTTTATATCATTAATAAAACAATTAATAAAATCGGTGCCATATTACTCATGTTCAATTTGTGATTTTTTAAGCTAGCTGATTTTAATTTAAATATTTTATGACTTTATTTAATTATTATGTTTAAGAAATAATTGAATAGAATAACATAAAATTTAGTCAAAAATCTATCCTTATTTTGTTATAAATTGTAAACTTTTTCATTAAATTCAAATTTTATCTTATGTATATGTTTGATCAAAAAAATGTATCAAATTTATGATTAGATTTGATATTTTATGAGTTGATTTAACTAATTTTGTTGACAAAAATAACTATTTAACTAATATTTACAATTTTAATTAACTAATTATTTTTAAAAAAATTCAGCAGCCGTTACCATTTACACATTCAGTTATTCAGTCAGATTCAGCTAAAAATCACTATAAAATTCAGCCAGATTCAACAATTCAGCCGGATTCAGCCGAATTCAGCGGTTATCATTTAGACCTATCGTGTTTTCGATTTACCAAGACCTGAAAAGGCTCATTTTTTTTTACCTCTATAGTTTTACTCTCTATCCGATTGATGCTACGTAGTCACGACCGGTCCGGTGAGGTGTGCAACTTTTTGTATACCTTTATTTTTAGTATAAAAAATATATAATATTACTTCGATGGGATCCACATTCGATTTTACCTTACTCTCCTCAAAAGCACAAGTTCCGGAACGTTCTAAGAAGATATGCACCCTTCCTCTTGTAATTAGTTCTAGAAAGTTCCAAGTCCACTTGGTGATCAAAAATTTGAGTGTCACGAGCTCCCCCCTATATATTATCTATTTAAGCACCTACGTGGCCATTGCCTTCACCACATCTCCTCCCTCAACTGCCATAAGTAAACTAACCACCACCAAAAGCAGAGTACTCTGTTTTTTTTTTTAAAAAAGACACCCTTCCCGCTCTTTTCTTTTTCTTCTTTTCTTGGTTCTTTGCTTTCTTGGTAATCTCCAATTCAGGAACCCAAATGCATCGTTTCCTTTCATCAATTCCAATTTACAAAAAATACAATCATAGATCATTAGAGTTCTAGCATTAGCATTGCTACAAGAATGGACCCGTCGTCAAGCTCCAGAGCACGGTCAATGCCGCCTCCAGTGCCTATGGAGGGATTGCAGGAAGCAGGGCCTTCTCCGTTTCTAACAAAGACGTTCGAGATGGTTGGTGATCCAAACACAAACCACATTGTGTCTTGGAACAGGGGAGGCATCAGTTTTGTCGTGTGGGATCCACATTCCTTCTCGGCCACTATTCTGCCTCTATACTTCAAGCACAACAACTTCTCCAGCTTTGTCAGACAACTCAACACTTATGTAAGTATAATCTCTGTTTCTCTGCTACTATGCTATTGTGTTCACTTGATCTTATAGTCTTGGAAGAACTCAACGATGCCTTCTGCCTCTAATTACTGCGAAAGGGTAATTAGTTTGATTCTCTATCTGTGAATTTCACCGGACATTTTGGTACTAAGTAATTATGCTCAGTAATAATGGTTGGTGAGTGAAACAAGCTAGCTAGGAGTGAAGGAGAAGAAGTTTCTTCGCAAGTTCTGGAAACTTTATCCATATTCAAGTTGCAATAAAATATTGAATAAGCAGGCTCTTACTTCCATTATATTTAATAATAAAATATAAAGTTAAGGATAACGTTGGTTTTTTTACAGCGCAGTAGAGACTAGAGTGGCTGCAGGTTCTTCGTCTGTTACGTCGCAAGCCAAAAAACTTATTTTAATATATCTGATTATTTATATATGTGCAGGGATTCAGGAAGATCGAGGCAGAGCGATGGGAGTTTATGAATGAAGGTTTCTCGATGGGTCAGAGGGACCTTCTCAAAAGCATCAAGCGACGAACCTCATCCTCTTCCCCTCCTACGCTTAACCACTATCAACCCGATGGTGATGACCCAAGCGTCGAGCTTCCGCAGCTCCAAGAAGAGAGGCATGTCGTAATGATGGAGATCTCGACGCTCAGACAGGAGGAGCAAAGAGCGAGAGGCTACATCCAAGCCATGGAACAGAGGATTAATGGAGCAGAGATGAAACAGAGGCATATGATGTCCTTCTTGAGGCGTGCAGTGCAGGACCCTTCGCTTCTGCAGCAGCTATTCGAGCAGAAGAAAGACCAAGAGGAGGCTACGATGTTTGAACAGGCTGGCCTGGTCAAAACGGAAGCGGTGGAGCACCTGTCGGAGCTGGAGGCTCTGGCGCTTGAGATGCAAGGATATGGACGGCAACGGGCTGATGGTGTGGAGAGGGAGCTTGACGACGGGTTTTGGGAAGAGTTACTGATGAACAACGACAACTCCGAGGAAGAAGAGGCGAATGTGAAGCAAGATACTTAGGTTTTATGGGTTCATGTCCGAATCAAGTAATCAACAAGTGATATATATATAAGGCAGGAAAAGAAAAGTACTAGTATCGATCAATCAAAGCAAATGAATGAAGACGGAGAACCAACAAAATGAACTATGTGTGCAACATATAGGGTTACACTACACCATCGTTTTTACTCTGTTCCATTTTGTTAGATATGTGTTAGAAATTTTGGTTTGTTTCATTTTTTTTATTTATTAATTTCTAGTTTTTATGTAAAATTTATGTTTATTGAGTATGTTATGGCTTTAAAATAAATTTTAAATAACATATATTAGGTAAAAATGACAAAACATTTATTGTTTCTTTTTAAAATTCCTTGCTTTTAACTTGAAAATCTTGCAAAATGGAATAGATAAAGTATTAATTATCACAAGCCATATCAGAACAAAGACATATATTATTTTGCGTGTTATAAGAAACTTATTCTTAGGTGTAAAACGGGCTTAACTGAGCATATATAAGAACACATAAGATGAAATCAGGAGCAGCCGGGCTTGGGATTGCGACAGAGGCAGCGGTGGGGGTCAGATACGCAAACGCCGCTAATGGCACCTTCGTACTTGCACAAGTTGTCGCAAAGGCCTTCTCCCGCACCTTTTAGCCAGCAAGGGAAGTTTGGTAGAAGCTTGCACTCCCACTGACACCTTTGCGCTTGAGCGTCTCCTTGCTCCATTAGTCCTATATATATATATATGTATACACAGCAATTAAAGGATGATGTAATTCCAGATCGAGTTGCAGTTTGATCGAGAGAGTATGCATAATGCATGTACCTGTGGAAACCAATAAGAAGACGAGGATAATCGCTGAGAAGCTGATCGTCTTCCCCATATTTATTCTTCGTTGACTTTTAGGTTTAGGGCTACACCAAAGAAGAACATGTCAATCAAAAACGAACACATGATTATATATACATACTATATGATGACGTGCGAGACACACCGGCTCTCTTCTTCCATTAATTAATTTATCCTTGAAACCCGCTTCGCGAAACCAACTAGTGAATAAAGTAATCTTCTCTGCCAACCTTATGATCTTGATGTTTTTGGGTTTAAGCGATTAACGTTTTTGATTCGGTCGTCCACACGTCCTTATCGTATCTATTAATTTAAGGAAACGGGCCCCAGAATGTAATGCTTGCTGTTGTTGACTATGGGCCTGGCCCATAATAGAAGCTTATTGCTTGCTGCCTCAGAAGTCAGATCAGAAGCTTGACCCAAAAAAGGAAAAGAAAAAAGACCACCAATGGTTTACCGATGACGATGATGATTGGACAATGGGATTCTGCGAAAGAAAGGTATGCGGTAACTTGAGGCTACTGAGCAAAAATTCCCCCGGCTCTTCTAACACGATGTACTCTGCTTCGGCCATTTCGTTACCAACGTTTCGTCTCCATTGTAGTATTCCGACAGAGCTATCATCATGCCGTCCCAAGTTGAGCCGAATTCAGACAAACCCATCCATCGGGAAGCCCGTCCAAGTCCCTTCTCCGAATCTCGCTTCTTTCGATGGAGGCCTTAATGAAGCTTTTCAACGGCTGGACGTCAACGGAAACAACTCTCCAATCGAAGCCTATGCCTACCTTCTCGAGCTTTGTGGTAAAAGCAGAGCTCTCTCTCAAGGTCGGCAGCTGCATTCCCGCCTTTTCAAGACTTTCCCTGCTTTTGAATTTGACTTTCTGGCCGGTAAGCTTGTCTTTATGTACGGTAAGTGTGCTTCTCTGGATGACGCAGAGAAAGTGTTTGACGAAATGCGTGACAGAACTGCCTTTGCCTGGAATGCGTTGATCGGAGCCTATGTTTCGAATGGTGAACCTGCTTCCGCTCTCTTTATCTACCGGAATATGCGTGTGGAGGGCGTTCCTCTCGATCTTTACTCTTTTCCTGTCTTGCTTAAAGCCTGCGGCAAACTTCGAGACATCAGGAGTGGCACTGAGCTTCATTGTATGCTCGTTAAACTTGGCTTCAATTCAACAGGTTTTATCGTCAATGCGTTGGTTTCCATGTATGCTAAGACTGATCACCTAAGCGCAGCTAAGCGTCTCTTTGACGCATCCCAAGAGAAAGGAGATGCTGTTCTCTGGAATTCTATTTTGTCTTCATATTCCACGTCTGGGAAATCTCTGGAGACATTACAATTATTCAGAGAAATGCAAATGACTGGTCCTGCCTCCAACAGCTACACTATTGTTTCTGCTCTCACAGCCTGTGAAGGTTTTTCATATGCAAAGCTAGGGAAAGAGATCCACGCTGCTGTCCTGAAATCAACTCACTCTTTTGAAGTATATGTGTGCAACGCCTTGATTGCTATGTATGCCAGGTGTGGTAAAATGCTTGAGGCAGGAAGGATCCTTCGTCTGATGAATAACGCTGACGTTGTCACATGGAATTCTCTGATTAAGGGATATGTCCAGAATCTCATGTACAAGGAGGCCTTACAGTTCTTTTGTGATATGATCGCTGCTGGCCACAAACCCGACGAGGTTTCATTGACCAGTGTCATTGCAGCGTCAGGAAGATTAAGCAATCTGTTGGCAGGAATGGAATTGCACGCTTACGTGATTAAACATGGCTGGGATTCCAATTTGCTGGTTGGGAATACGTTGATAGATATGTATTCAAAGTGCAACCTCACATGTTACATGGGCCGTGCGTTTCTTATGATGCATGAAAAAGATCTTATTTCATGGACTACAATCATTGCTGGTTATGCCCTGAATGATTGTCATGTAGAGGCCTTACAACTCTTCCGGGATGTTGCTAAGAAAAGGATGGAGATTGATGAAATGATGCTGGGAAGCATCCTTCGAGCTTGTAGTGTGCTGAAATCCATGCTCATTGTCAAAGAAATTCATTGTCACATTTTGAGAAAAGGTTTAATTGATACTGTGATACAGAATGAGTTGGTAGATGTTTACGGAAAATGCAGGAACATGGGCTATGCTTCCCGAGTATTTGAATCAATCAAAGGTAAAGATGTTGTCTCTTGGACGAGCATGATTTCGTCTAGTGCTCTTAATGGTAACGAAAATGAGGCTGTTGAACTCTTTCGACGCATGGCTGAAACTGGTTTGTTAGCTGATTCTGTAGCATTGTTGTGTATACTGTCAGCTGCAGCAAGTTTATCTGCCCTCAAGAAAGGGAGGGAAATTCATGGCTACTTACTCCGGAAGGGTTTTTGCCTAGAGGGGTCCATTGCAGTTGCAGTTGTTGACATGTATGCATGCTGTGGAGATTTACAGAGTGCAAAGGCTGTATTTGACCGGATAGAAAGGAAAGGTTTGCTGCAATACACAAGTATGATCAATGCATATGGAATGCACGGCTGCGGAAAAGCATCTGTTGAGTTGTTCAATAAAATGAGGCATGAAAACGTCTCACCCGATCACATTTCATTTCTGGCACTTCTTTATGCGTGCAGCCATGCAGGTCTGCTTGACGAGGGTAGAAGATTTCTCAAGATCATGGAACTTGAATATAAATTGGAACCATGGCCTGAACATTACGTGTGTCTGGTTGACATGTTGGGTCGTGCAAATTGTGTAGTGGAAGCCTTTGAATTCGTCAAAATGATGAAAACAGAACCAACTACAGAAGTCTGGTGTGCACTCCTTGCGGCATGCCGATCTCACTCAGAGAAAGAAATTGGAGAGATAGCTGCTCAGAGGCTTCTTGAGCTAGAACCTAAGAATCCGGGAAATCTTGTGCTTGTATCTAATGTCTTTGCTGAACAAGGAAGATGGAACGATGTAGAAAAAGTGAGGGCAAAAATGAAAGCAAGTGGAATGGAGAAACACCCTGGATGTAGTTGGATTGAGATGGACGGCAAGGTTCATAAATTTACAGCAAGAGACAAGTCTCACCCAGAGACCAAAGAGATATATGAGAAATTGTCCGAGGTTACTAGGAAGTTGGAGAGGGAATCAGGTTATCTAGCCGATACAAAGTTCATTCTGCATAATGTAGATGAAGGGGAGAAGGTTCAGATGCTGCATGGACATAGTGAGAGGCTAGCAATTGCTTATGGTCTGCTCAGAACACCTGACCGAGCCTGTCTCCGGATCACAAAAAATTTACGCGTCTGTAGAGATTGCCATACTTTTTGTAAGCTGGTCTCTAAGTTATTCAGACGAGACATTGTGATGAGGGATGCGAACAGATTTCATCATTTTGGAAGTGGACTGTGTTCTTGCGGAGAGTCTTGGTGACCAAACTTTGACAAAGCATATGTTCATCAATCCAGACCAAGATTATTAATTATGTCATTAGGTCCACATAGCTTCACAAGGGTTGCATATGGCTATTTGCATGTGTCCCACCAAGAGAAACAAGTGAAGTCGTCATCTTAGGAGGGAATGACTGCCTTTTTTGCACCATAGAAGGGAAAGAGAGAGATAGCAAGGGAATTCAAAGTAAGAGACTAAGAGAGAAGATGGAGACCTGATTAAGAGGAAAAAAGTTAAGGCCTATCAGCAATTAAAAGCAGGAAGCAGAGACCTAGACACCAAGCTAGGGATAGAGTCGTCTAACTAGGCTGTTCAGCAGAGACCTTGTAAGCCTTTTGAGAGTAAATGTCTTCAAGACACTCATTTCTCTTTTCTCTTTGTGATTATATCTGCTTTTAAACGCACACCTACCAAACCCGTGGATGAATCTTTCATAGATACACCTCTATCCCTCTGCATTCAAACACAAACCACAAAGTACCTCTGCTGTTTACTTTTTACGTCTTTGTATTTGCATCCTCTAAGAGACTGATGGATTGTGTTGTGGGATTTTAATGCAGGAGGAAACATAGGAGGGTGATTAAGGCAAAAACCTAAAGTTGTGGTCCTTTAGATACATGGAGTCAAACTAAGAATGGACCTTGGCGAAAGCTTCTTCATGGTCAAGATTTAAAATCAGGTACGACACTGTGTACGTGAGAGAGGGAGAGAGAGAAAGAGATTAGAGAAAGAAAGAGATGTATCACAATAAAGGAGTATATTTAGGGTCACAGGTGGTGGAGATATAGGTATGCAGGGCCGAGGCTCTAATCTCTTCATAGCCCTATTGATTTTGTCCCTCTCTCTCTCTTTCTTCTTCTCTTAGCTGTATGATTATGATGCGTCTTTTAATTCACTGTTCCAGGCTTCTTTAATTCGTGGTGTCTCTCTCCTTTTTACCCAACCATCTCTTTAAATTTTCAACATCTGTCCCTCAAATCCTCTCTCATCTCTTTCTATAAGTATCTATCACGCCTCTTAAACCACAAAGCATCATCTCTGTCTTCTCTCATCTCCATCCTCTATTCTTTTTCATTGCCAAAACTTTTCTACCTTCTTCCGTTTTATACATAATTAATCCCTCAAATATGTGAAATCTGCACAACTTGTTGCTCAGGTATTTTGAAGACAAGTCCACAAGGGAACAAGTGAAGCTGCCAGCATGATCTATCTTTGGTTAAGAGATGAATGTGTAAACATATTGCTTAAACCCAAGCTAGGTCATGCTCTGACAGCCTCACTCCTTCCTGGTTTAGGACCATTCACTGATAAAGCATTCCACATGCCGATTGAAAGAAAAATAAAGTCTTGTACGCACACAGTTCAGACTACACGAAACCGTTGTAAGTGTTCTCTCTGTTTTTCCCTGCTTTGTCACACTCTCCACTTTCTTTTCTCATGTTTTTGCGCTATAGATCTACCATAGGTGCATCATGTTTTAGTGTTTCAAAGAACTTAAGACTGTGCAAAGCCAAACGTCTTAATAAAAAGGAAAACAATTTAAAACCAAAATGGTCTCTCTCTCTCTCATTTACAAGACAAACTATACCTTCCACAAGTTTGACCAAAACGAAAACTATACCTTCACAAATATAACCCTTATTTTAAGACAATACTTCTACCATACATACTTAGCTTTAAAATACCCTTGCCACTGCTGTACAACAAATAAACCAAAGTTAGTCTTACTATCCATTAATGGCTACCCTAAAGCTCAAACTCACAATTGTTTTTCTTTGATTTTCCTAAGCCATCATCATAACATTCTAAACCAACTTGTTGCAGCAGTTTGAAAGAAATTTGAAGCCAGTGACCATAACCTCGTGTTCAACGACTCTTTTGATCAGATTGGTGGGGAATCATCAAGGTTTAAGATTTGAATCTTTTGATCGTTCAAGGGAGCAGGAAACTGCTTGTAAAGTTATCTTATCAGACGAGTCCCACTCTGTGCTCCTGATCATCAATTATCAAGCCATCCGTAGAGAACTGCATCTGCTATGGTTGGCTTCTCAAGGTTTCTTGAGAGATGGGCTTCTTGAACCCTTAATTAAGGATCTTGGATTCTTAAAGTAACTGAGGAACGGTGTCTCAGAAACAGGTATGAATTTTGTGAAAAAGCCGATCGGCCATGAAAGGGATGCAATTGCTATACAAGTTCCCCATTGCCACCCGTTAAGCCTTACTGTATCCGCAAACTTCTTTAGGAATTCCACCATAATGACTTGAAGCACGATAGTTATCGCTATGATTCCAATGAACAACCTGTTTCTGTGAAGGCCTTTGAACACATTTTTCTTCTCCATCTCCCTAGCATTGAATTCGTTAAAAACTTGGCAGAGCACGAAAGTGTTGAATATGAGTGTGTCCTTCACTTCCTTGCGCACATTGAATATTGACATACCCTTGAATTGTAAGATCAAGAGTACGGCTATTTGATATAATGACTGAACCAGGAGATTCCTCCACATGACATTTGTTATCAGGGCCTCTGTTCGGCCAACTGGCTTTCTCTTCAGGAGCTCGTTGGTGGGTCGCTCTGTGGCGAGAGCCAGAGCTCCCAATGTGTCCATGATGAGGTTTACCCACAGCAGTTGAACTGCTGTCAAAGGGACCTCACCGGCTGAAATTGCTGCGATAAAATTGATCACAAGAGCTGCTACGTTCACTGTTAGCTGAAACTGAATGAATTTCTGGATATTGTTGTAGACACACCTTCCCCATTTTAAGACTGTGGCAACGGATGCAAAGTTATCATCTAGAATTACAATGTCTGAGCTTTCTTTTGCCACTTCAGTGCCCTGAATTCCCATAGAGAGTCCAATATCTGCTTCTTTTAGTGCAGGTGCATCGTTGGTGCCATCCCCTGTGACGGCTACCACGTGGCCTTTAAGTCTCAGACACTTTACCATTAGAAGCTTGTCGGAGGGAGAGGACCTTGCCATAACCCGGATCTTATCAACTTTCTGCATTCTCTCTTCGTCGGTATAATTTCTGAATTGAACACCTTCTACAACAGCATCTTCTTCATCTTTGTCGTTGTGGTCGAGGATTCCGCATTCAAAAGCGATAGCTTTTGCAGTGAAAACATTATCTCCTGTTATCATCTTAATGGTGACTCCTGCAAGTTTGCAAGTTACTACCGCTTTTGAGACACCAGGTCGACAAGGATCTTTCAGACCCACTATTCCCATCAAGGTCAAGCCATCTTCCTCTAATACCGAGTCATTTGACGCTACTTTATGAGCGAATGCTATGCATCTGAGGCTACTGGCCGCCATACCTTGGATTATTGCCTGAATTCTGTTCTTTCCGGTGGAGTCCATTAAGTCAACTGACCCAGTGCTTGTGTAGTAGTGAGAACACATAGCTAGGACCATTTCAGCGGCTCCTTTCCAGTGTACATGGACTGTATTGTCAGATTTTCTTCGGACCAAAACTCCGCTTCGTTTCTTTGCTGAATTGAAAGTTTCAACGCGGAGAACTTCATGTTTCTGCTTTACTGACTCCATATCCATACCCAGATTTAGCACAGTCCAAGACAAGAGGGCCTTCTCTGTTGGACTGCCCGAGAACTCAGGTGTTGATCCTGAGTCTGATACACAGACACTTCCCGTTGTGTTCAGACCGGTGCCTTGGTAAAGCAGATCAAGAACGTCAGGTGAGATCATTTTGGTAGAGTCTTCATGGATTGACTCTTGGCCAAGCCAAAACTTGGTAACCTTCATCTCGTTCAGTGTTAAAGTACCTGTTTTGTCTGTGCATATCACTGTCGCCGAGCCCATCGTCTCGCAAGCCGAGAGCTTTCTGACCATAGCTTGATCAGACATCATTCTCTTCATGGAGTAAGCCAGCGTCAGAGTCACGGCCAATGGCAAGCCTTCTGGGATAGCTACTACGACAATGGTTACAGCAGCTGCCACGATTCGCACAACGGAATTTACCACAGTGTCCACAGGTGTTTTGCTCCCGTTGTATTCTCTTTTGCCCTCTTTCTCTGTGTTTCCAGTGAAGTAACGGACTAATAAAACTACCAGAACAAGTGCTGCCACCGTAAGACCAATTTTTCCGATGGTGGAGGTCAGCGTGTCAAGACGGACCTGCAAAGGTGTTCTCTCGCTGGAATCTTGGTTTATGGAGCTCATCGTCTGTCCCCAGGTTGTGCTCATACCCACAGAGACAACCAGCATCTGAGCAAACCCGTCGACTATCTTTGTCCCAGAGAACAAGAAGGGATTATCCTTGTGATTCACTTCAAGATGGTCACTCTCTCCTGTCATACTAGACTCGTCCACCTGAAGTGAATGCCCATCCAAGAACAGACCATCAGCAGGAATCTGATCTCCGATCTTCAAGAAGACAACATCACCAACAACAACGTCAAAGATGGAGATATGTTGCCGCCTGCTGTCCCTAAGGACTTCCACTTTGATATTATTGCTTATCTTGGACAGCTTGTCGAACTGTCTCTCCTGCCTGAAGTTGCTGAGAGCAGAGACAACTATAACCAAGAAGACTGCTACGAAGATGCTTCCGCCTTCATACCAACCTTCTTTGATGCCATGTTCTTTGATACCGAAGCCAAGGGCGAAAGTGGCGCAGACCAACAAGATCAAGATGGTTGGATCTTTGAAAGCTTCATACACAAAGAAGAGAAGTCCTTTAGGCGGTGGCTTATGGTAGGTGTTAGAGCCAAAGAGGTCACGGCGTCTACTGACTTCTTGCTCATTCCCATGGATCCCTTTGGTGGCATTTGTCCTTAGGGAAGCGGCCACACCCTCCAGGCCGCCCAGCGCTAGGATGCGCGGCAAGTCCTTACCCTTCATGATCTCCACAAGTTGCTCTTGATCGATGTCAGGAACGTAAGAGAGAGGCATAGAGTTGATCTTTGCTCCATCACCGGACTCGAGGGCTGTGTAGGAGAGAGAGAGAGGGGCATCTGAGGTTTTGGGATCAATCCTTGCGGGAACAATCTCCTTAACGAGAGAGAGCATAGCCCTCACAGAGTAGATGGCAGCGTAGGCAAAACGCCAACGCCTCTGGGCCTTGTTGAGGCTGGAGGTGGTAAGGTTGAGCAAAAGAGCACTGTAATCATATTCCTTGAGGTCTCTCATGCTTAATTTGTGTGTAAAAGAAAGAGAGTTTTTAGAAGGAAAAAAAAGGAGTCTCGCTCTCTCTCACCGAAATGTGGTGTGACTTGTAAGACACTCGAGACTCGCAAGTAATGATTTCTTTCTAAAACCCTGAGCTATTTAAATCCGTATTGGCCGCCTTTTGATTGCTATTTATCTGCTTTAAAGTATTGAAAACTCTCGTGTTAAGTAACTTGTGCTAGTTTAATATTTTGAGGCGGTGTAACCACTCAAGAAACGTTGTAAACACGAAGAAGTCATGTCGATCAAAGGACTGGGCCGCACATCCTTTTGTACTTGTGGTTGACTTATCAATTGTCTCACCATTGTGCCCTAAAAGAGAGAGTTAATCTGAGATTTGGTCTAAAGCAGCCGTATGATGTGAAACATAGAATCTGGTGTGGACAAGCCGTCATTGTAGAATGAGGAGCAATAGCGTGCGTGTACCAACTTGCTTAGGTCCGCACGGACAAATGAAAAGAAATGGGCAATATAGTAAAAAGAAAGAAGAAGAAAAGGATTAGATCTATTGAATCTTCCACACCAAACTAGTTTGGTATAATATCTATCAAGTGAATTTGTACTTCTCAAACTCGAAAACCGACTACTTTTCCACGAATACATTTTTACAAGTAATAAAATGGAGCAGCGAAGCGTGTACGACGAAGGCATCATCAGTTTGATCACCGAAACTTCGTAGCACTTTCCAGTTTCGCTGTCATCTCTTTCTTTGTTTATGTGACGAGAGCAAGACATAAAAAGCAGTTGACTTTGTAAACAAACAAAATAAGTTGACGTGAGGTGAGACCACCAAAGAAAGAGTGTGTAGGAGAGACAAGATTTGGCATAAAATTCCGATACAAGTGAATGATAAAAGCAACTCCTCAACACACACAGAGAGGCTTTGGTAGCTCTTGTATGTGGATAAGTAACAAGAGTCATTGCACCAAGCTTAACAAAATCCCAACCAACAATGGCTTGGGATCGAGAATAGATAGATTGAGCATCATCATCTTATGAGAAGAATACAACTAATTAAGCTCAGAACTAATAATAATAACAAAGGCTCTCAGCCTGAAACTAATAAAGAGTTAGTTAGCTATGGTTTATGATGATGGTTAAGAAGCAGATCCCTGGCAGTGCAGCAGTTGTTGGTGTGCAGATGCAGTGAACCAATCCCCATGAGATCCCTCCACCTGCTGTGCTCCGGCATTGAAGCTAGGCACACCATTCCCTCAACCTCCTTGGAGATTCGCGCATCTAAAAACGCACCAGAGCACTTGTCTTTGGCGAACGCAGCGCACTTGCCCTTGGAGGCAGCCACACATGCCTGGAATTCCCGCTCTTCGCACTTGTCCCGCTCCCTCATGTCACCGGAGCCCCGCCACCACGGCGGCTTACAGTTGTTGGAGGCGGAGACGGCGCACCCAATTCTAGCACCTTCCTGGCACTGATCCTTGATTAGGGTTTCGCAACGCTTGAAAGCGGCTGACCATGAATCCAGGGATCGGAAAGCTAGAACGTATGAGCCACCGGAGGGTACAGGTCCCCGGAGCAGCGGAATCGGACGCTCGAAGACGACGGTAGTCGCAGCCGCCGAGTAATCATCATCGTCCATCATTTCAATATCTCTTCAAAGGCCCATCGGGCTTGCTTGAGGCCAACCCACCCACCCACCTTTATATTTATTTAATTAAGTAGTAGCACCGAATGCACTAGATTCTTCTTACTTGATATCCTCTGGTCTCTCTCTCGATAACTATAGCTGCCGCTACTCGTTTCAATATCTCCGTCTCCGGCTTGATCCGCCTAGTAGTAGGTATCTCCGAGAATCTTGATTCTTTCCTGCTTCTGTTTTCTAGGTCAGGCTTCGTTTTTTTTTTTGTGTTTTCTGGTACTCGATTTTGTTTTTGGAGTTCTCGACTCTTTTGTTGTGGAATTTCAATGATGCACTTGTGTTAGTTAGTTATCCTTGGTGTTGTTTTTAGAGAGGGAGCATTCATTCATTCATCTTTCTCTTCTACTTTTCTTCATGGTGTTTATTTTTGGGGTTTAGGGTTCTAGGTTTTTTCAAGATCTGTTGGTTTCAATCGAGCTGGGTATACTTTCCTGTACTTATATTTTTTTAGGAAACTTGTAGTTCTCCTTCTAAATCAGCACATCATCATCATCTACACTTGATTCCATTTGTGCAGCGATGAGTAAAAAAAAGAATCCTAATGTTTTCTTGGATGTCTCTATTGGTGGGGATCCCGTTCAACGGATTGTCATTGAGGTATTACCTCTACCTCTGCTTTTTTTGCTTTCCCGATTCTTTTCCATCTCCAGTTTCTTAAGTTTTTTTTTTCTTCTGTCGATGGCAGCTTTTTGCTGATGTTGTCCCCAAGACAGCGGAAAACTTCCGTGCCCTCTGCACTGGTACCTTGGGCTTGCTCACTACACTTTCTGCATCTATCTCTGCCATTTTATCTCGCCAGATTGCTCTGGACCCTGCATGCTTCAAATTTCATTTTTATGATGTTTTTACTTGGTGCAGGTGAGGCGGGAGTTGGAAAGACCACTCGGAAGCCTCTACATTTCAAAGGATCATCTTTCCATCGAGTTATCAAAGGATTCATGGCTCAGGTATCTATGCATTATTCTTTTGCAACTCTTTGCTGACATACAATTTGTTTTTGTATAAACGAGATTCATTAGTGGTCTCTTTCTTGCAGGGTGGTGATTTTTCCAATGGAAATGGTATTCTTCAAACCTGTTATCCTTTACACATGAAATCATATTCTTTTCCAGTTTCCAAACCGTCTATATTCCTTGACATCACAATATACTCTATTTGCGATCATATTTTTTTGTGTGATGTAGATACCTTGTGGACGTAGTCATTATCTAGTTTGTAGTTAACTAACACATAAGTTTAAGGAATTGACACAAGGAGCTAAGTTTATAGAATGAACAATGGCAACTACGGAAAGGCGAATTAGGTTCCCTTTTCATCTTCTGAATGAAGTACTTCTTGCTATAATGCCATAGAGATACTCTTGGAATGCTATTACTGATGTACTCAGCTTGACCTGATTATAAATTGATAATGCCCAGATTTGTAAGGAGTTTGGTTGATTTGCAGGCACTGGTGGGGAGAGCATCTATGGTGGGAAGTTTTCAGGTATAGTTTTGTTTTTCTCTGTTTTCAGTTTTCTGATATTGAAAATTTTTCTCAATATATCCCGTTATTCTTTTGCAGATGAGAATTTTAGATTGGATCATGATGGAGCTGGAATCCTTTCAATGGCAAATTGTGGTCCAAATACCAACGGGTCCCAATTTTTTATACTGTTTAAACGCCAACCACATCTTGATGGGTAATCTCTGCTCCTAGATTTTGTTGTTTTGAGAAATTCGAGTTCATTGTAAAGGGCACTCAAAAGGTTTAATGCATTGTCAAGGGTCCTGATTTTTATTATCCATCATATTGTAGGAAGCATGTTGTATTTGGCAAAGTCGTTGAGGGGATGGCAGTAATCAAGAACATGGAACTTGTGGGGACGAGTGATGGGAAACCTACTAGCCCAGTTAAAATAATCGACTGTGGCGAAACGTCTCAGATAAGATCACATGATGCTGCTGAAAGAGAAAAAGGTAATGAAGTTAATCTTTGAATGTGGAGTTTCTAGATTAATGATGCGGATACTTTTAATGTTTTTTAGGGAAATCGAAAAAATCAAACAAGGGCCTTTCTTCTGGTGACATATCTGACCGCAAAAAAGAATCAAAGGATAAAAGGATAAAGCGAAAAAGAAGATACTCTTCGGCGGATTCATATAGCTCAAGTTCTGACTCAGATTCAGATTCGGATTCAGAAACATATTCATCCTCCTCCTATGAGTCTAGTTCTTCAAGTGATGGGAAGCATAGGAAGAGGAAGTCAACAAAGAGACACAAAGGCGGACGCGGGGAAAGAAAGATTAAAGGACGAAACGGGAAAAAGAAAGCTCGGCGAGATAGACAACCTCGGCGCAGGTTTGACAATTAGTTCATTGGTAATTAGTTTATTCGCTGCCAGTTGTTTTACTTGATTTTATTAGTGGTTCCTTACAGAAGCACGTATAGTTCAAGTGACACAGAGAGTAGCAGCAGTTCTGATGATGAGAAAGTGGGCCACGATAAAGGAAGAAAGTCAGTGAAAGCTAAAGGTAAGTGTGCTTGTTAAGGATCTTGGTTCTTTAAATCTATCCTTGGCAACTACTTTTCGTATCTGAAATGCATTTGTGTTCCTGCAAGTAGGCTGTTCTGCATATATGAGAATCTTACTCTTCTTGGAACAGATGGTGGAAAAGTTTCGACAACTATGCCTGTAGGGAATGCTGCTGATTCTAGTCCCGCAGAGAAGAGCCTTCTGAGAGAGGAACCAGATTCTTTCCTGAAGAACGATGAACCTGTGGGTAATGGAAAGGCCACCAAAGCTGATAACGCTGATCAACGCGGCGACTTGGATGACTCATTGAAATCAAGGTTTACCTCTCTGGCTTTATGTATTTCAGCTTTGCTTCTGCGATTTGGTGGTCTGATTTTGTGGTCACTGGCAAACTTTGCCGTTTTTTATTGCTATACAGGAGCAGGAGCCCAATTCGTAGGAGTAACCAAAACAGCAGAAGCAAAAGTCCTAGTAAGAGCCCTGTGAGAGATCTTGGAAATGGAAGCAGAAGTCCTCGTGAGAAGCCAACAGAGGGAACTGTGGGGAAATCTTCCAGAAGCCCATCTCCAAGTGGTGTGCCCAAGCGCATCCGAAAGGGGCGTGGGTTCACCGAACGCTATTCCTTTGCTCGGAAGTACCATACACCTTCTCCCGAGCGTTCTCCTCCTAGACATTGGCATGACAGAAGAAGCTTTCAGGATAGGAACATGGATAGGTAACTTAATCTGTACATACTTACAACAAAGGAATACAGCTCTGCGGATAGTATTAAAGCCTCATTTTGTTTAATTTTGTAGGTACCCGAGCAACAGAAGTTACTCTGAGAGCTCACCGAGGGGACGCTTTAGAAGCCCACCCAGAAGAAGGAGCCCTCCAAGGTTCGCTCTCTTATCTTTATACAGATTCGGGCTTGGGACGATATAGCTTGTAAACCACCACCTAGAGCCACTTAATTAAATTTATATCCTAGAACGACCCTTTTTGTGATATTATTTTGGTTAAGCAAAACATACTAATTCAAGGCTGAAAGTTGAAAAGAACAACTTTATAGCAATGTTGGATGTCCTCTGAAATTGAGTGTTGTCTTGCATAGGTACAACCGAAGGAGAAGGAGCACTTCTCGGAGTCCAGATGGGTACCATAGACGCTTGAGGGATGGAAGCAGGAGCCAGAGTCCGAGGCATCATAGCCAGAGCCCTAGAAAGAGGCAGCCAATTAGCCAAGACCTTAAATCCCGTCTGGGGCCACAGAAATCCCCCATCAGAGGAGGACGCACCTCTCCTGCAGGATCACTCAGCCCTTCTCACTCATCATCTCCACCAGGACAGAGAGGTCTGGTTAGCTATGCGGATTGATGATCACTCATCCATTGGTTTCTCTGGTGACTTGAGAGTTATTGTTGTAATTTCCGTGTTTTAGTGCAAGCAGTTATAGGTAATGATATTTATCATGTTGGTCGGATATAATACTCTTCTACCTTAGTTGCATTATAGATTGTTGAACATTGATCAAATTCAGACTGATATATGCTGGCAAAATTGAGTTTGGGAATCGAAGTTTGCAGAAACAGTATTGATTAGGCAGCATAGATATCTCAACATGAAATCAAGTAATAGAATCGTAAAGAAAGCAGGTTGATGATATTCCGCTAGTTCATAGACAGGACTCGAATCTTTCTTTACCACAAGAGGGGTTTACAATGATCATGTCCTAGAAGAGATGGATCAGATGGGTTGGTCTTTGGGAACGATCTGATCCTTGATCCACATGTAGATCGGGACTAGGACAAACCAGGCAGCTGCTAGAGTTCCCAGGAGGAAGCGTCCCAAGAAGGAGAAGGGGTTGTTGACAGGCTTTTCTACGTCCTCTTCTTTTGGACCAAGCTGCATTTTTTGAATGATAAATAGAGCATATACTATAGTATATAATCAAAGAGAGAAGAAAGCAGAAAAGGTGAAGTGAGGTTACCTGGAGAGGAGAGTCACCGGAGGCAGGTTTAACACCAGTGACAGAACATCCCATGATAAGGCCGTGCCTGCGAACACCACGGTACCACTTGGGGCCAATCCTCTTGAGCTGAACGTCCTTGAAACCGGCATTCTTGAACCACTCAATGTACTCTTCCTCCTTGGGGAAGAGCATCCATACATCAGCAAAGAAGCGAGAGAGCCAGAAGGTTGGGTAGACAGGGCCGATGAGACACGCTTTGCCACCGATCTTGAGAACCCTGTAGGCTTCCCTTATTCCCCTCTGCGGGTCGGGCCAGTACTCAATGCTGTGTGATGATAAAACACAATTAATTATTCACCAGAAAGAAACCTCCTAACATACACACACACACACACACACAGATTATAATAAGAAAAGAAAAAAGGATACCTTCCAGCAGAAACGTATCTGTCTGCATAATCGGTGGGAAAAGGAAGATCCTCAGCATCTCCCTCGACGATCTTGCATTCTTTCAACGGCTCCTTTTGCTTCGCTTTGGCCAGCTGATGTGGCGACTGGTCCAGAATGGTGACATTCTTAGCCTTCACAGTCTTGACTATGCCCAGAGTAGTGAAACCAGTGCCGCCGCCGACATCGACCACGCGCATGTCGGGATGGCTGAGATCCGCCGGCTCGAGAGCGTCGTCCCTCATATCCTCGGTCCAATGCCCAGGATTGATGATATGGTCGTATACGATGGATAAGAACCTGTAGAACCAGTAAGCCTCCTTTTTGTGCTGAATGAACCTAGGTTGCGCCGATGGCCGGGAAGACGACGACACGCTGCTGCATCTAGTTGCCACCGAGAGTCTAGGTGTGGTGGTTCGGGTCACTGAGAGTAAAGTCGGCCGAGGAATCGATCTGGCATGCAAATTGGAACCGGGGGAACCTAAACCCTTGGGGAAGGTAATGGCCCCGTTGAGCAACGAAGAAGCCATCGATGTCAGATCGAAGTTGAGCTGAAGAAGAAGAAGAAGAAGCTTATCTTCTATTCTCTCCGCCAGTGAAAACACACAAACGACAATGAGAGAGAGATTTGCTAAGTGTGACGACTAAACAAACCCTCTAACTCCAACAGAGTCAGCAACCACATACATATTTTCGTTGTCTGTTTGTTGAGGCCCATGGGCCCGTTTACAAGTATTGGGCTTTTTGGTTTAATTGTACTGTCAACTGTAAAAGCGACGAAGACGCCCATTTTTCTGCAAATGGAAGGGAAAAGGGGGAGAGAGACTTTCGACGACAATTCAAACCTGTACGGAATCAGAAGACTAGAGTCTCTCTGACGGTGTCAGATCTGCGACTAGCGAGAGGATGCGAATCGGCGATCCTCAGGAGGAGGAGCCTGTTTCTCTCGGCGGCGGCAAGCACAGGATCCTTGCAGAGCTTGCCCGCGTTGAACAGGAAGTCGTTTTCTTGGAGGTAAACTAACTCTCTATCTCTTTTTCTCCATTCCGATTTAGATAGCAATTGTCCATGTCAACCTTTTTAGATCAATTGTCTTGTGTCTTTTAACAACTAGCTAAGCTGGGTTGATTGTTTCCTGTGAAAGCGAAAGCCAGTTCTTCGAGAATCCTCTTGCCTGCTTTGTTAATAATAATTTATTACTCTGTGAATTGCATTCCCAAAATCATATCTGCTGGGTTCTCTTTGGATCCACTTTTGAAAATGGTTCTCTCTTGATCTTATTCTGTATTTAGTATTATTCTCTCTTGGTTATCATCTATACTTCACTCCAGGCGCCTAGTAAAGTTAACCTTCTCTGGTGCACAGATAATGTGTTTGGTTACATCTTTGCCTGACCGCTCATATTACTCCTTCTAGTGACCTCTAACAGTTATTAAAGTAGCTTTACTCTCCTTTTTTTTTTTCATGTACTATATCCAGAAAGAGTTGGAAGAGGTTGAGAGCACAGATATTGTATCAACCGTGTGTGAGGAGTAAGTGTGGGATACTCAACCTGTGTTTTTTTCTTTTTCTTTCTATTGTCTCTAGGAGTTTTAGGTATGTTATCTGGATTTGACTGAAATTTGTGCCTTGATTGGTGATCAAATTGATATTCCCTTGGTTCGCAGGCTGCTCTGTGTCGTTGAGAAAGGACCCGATCCTCTGTTGCCACTGTGAGTGCTTTTAAACCTTGAAACTCTAGTATTGGTTTGGACTGAATAACTGATGGATGTTGTGGTGCTGGCAGAACCAATGGACCTTTTAACTTAGGATGGGACCGGTGGTTTGAAGGACCAAATGGAGGAGAAGGCTGCAGATGCTTAATACTTTGATTCACTAGAGAGAGTAATGTTACATATAGTTTCTTGCTAAGAAGATATCTTCTTACATGGGTTCCAAACTGGTGGCTGTAGCAGTTTCAACACTTGCCACAGAGAAAAAGCGTACAGATTAATGAGCATTGGAATTGCATAGAATGGCTTAGTTACAAGTACGTAACAGTGTTATATGTATATGTAATGTATGGGATCCGAATCTGACATGCGAGCAATAGAGTTTCTGCTTCTCATCTCCTTATTTTAGATCTTGTTGCAAGAAGTGCATAGTGATATTTGGGGGCTAATAGAGTAAGTGGGTAGATCTTGAAGACCGTTAAGTGTGTCTCTCATTTTTTCTTTTTAGATAAACTTTTGTCCACATCCACCCTCCATGATTCACACACGCTAGTTTCGAGGTTCAGAAATACATACTGTCACACACCTATGTTTAAGATGATTTATTATTATAGATAGAGCGATAATGGAACCCAGAGGCCAGAGCACATGCCTCCTCTCTTGTCTTTTATTATTACTTATTACTGTTCTCCTCCACTTCCGTGTTTCCAGTCTTTACACATACATTTTACATGTAGGTGTCTGTAAAAGTAGAACCCCCTTTTGTTTTTTTGTTTTCTCTTGGTTTCCACTGTGACAAAAATAAAAGCAATTTGTGAGTTAAAAAAAAAAAATGAGAATCATAGAGGGTAGTAGTAGAAGTGATTTACCGTTGGTTTATTCGATAGCTAAAAAGGTAGTTTTTGCTTTCCAACATATTCCTCAACTTTGTGATGAGTAAACAAATACTGCTAATGTGGGTTTTCTGACAACATTTGAATATACAGTATTTCATCTATTCTTATTGGTCAAAATCAGAGTTGATGACCTCATTAGAGCTCACTCTTCTCCCATAATAAATAATAAGTAAGCCCACCCACCCAACTAAAAAAAACTGATCAAAGTTTGAATTTGTTATCTAAAATAAAAAGAAGAGAAATGAACACATAGATGTGAGTTGGTCCGATAGAGAAATGATTGAGCAGCCGAAAGAAACACGTAACAACATCTGCAGCATATCTGGTCAGAGAGTGACAAGGATAAGTAAGTTAGCCGTTGTGTCTGAAAGTTGTAAATCTCGAGATTAAGTGAAGTGGTCCGTTCGTTTTATGAAACTTAAAAAAAAAAAAAGAGTCCAAAGTCCCTAACACTAGAATGTACTAGTAAAGTATCTTCTTCACGTAAACGTTTTGAAATGGGGAAATGAATGAAATAAACAATGCAAAACGTAGAGCAGCCTGCGAACCAAGGGAATACTAATTACATCTTGAATTGACCGAAACTGCAGCCGCAACGGAAACCAGAGGCAGAGATGAAGACCTAGCTGCCTTGGGAATAGAGAGAGAGAGAGGGTAACAACGAACGATGGTCATTACTTTATTATGGCATTCCCAACTTTGAAACTGCCACGTCGATGCGGTCAACAGCGGGGTCCATCTCCCCTCATCTTCCGTTCCTTATTTTCCACCTGGCATTTTACTTATTCTTCTTGAAACAAAAAATAAAAAACGAAAATAAGTAACTAAAGGGGTTTGATCTTTACTTTTAGTACTCAAACTTGGCCATTATTAACTCAGAAATGTTAATGCAGAATTGTCAGTGTATTAGTAATTAAAAAAGAAAAAGCACGTTTATAGGAGGGGTAGGAGTGTCCTTTTGAGTTAGGGAGTGGTGCTTTAAAGAAGCAGAGAAGCGGGAGAAGAGTGCTGCAGCAACAGGAGGGAGGGGAGGAACCAATGTGAAAGAAGAAAAAACGGAAATGGAGAAAGTGAAAGAGCAAGATCTCGAGAAGCAAATCGGCGGTTGCATGGCCGGCTTCTTCAACATCTTTGATCGCCCCAATCTCCTCTCTCCTAATAAGCGTCTCTCTTCCTCTCCCGTAAGTTCTCTCTCTCTCTCTCTCTCTCTCTCTCTCTCGCTCTGTTCCTACCGGCAATTATATTGAGACTTACAAACAAAACAACAATGTCTCTGTTTCTCCAGAGCGCTGAATCTGAATCTGCCTCTGGGAGGAGTTCCCCGCTCAACTCACGGAGGAATCAGCAGAGCGTGTACTCTACCCCAGAGCTACGGTCTCCGCCGTCGGATTCACTGAATCTGACGACTCTTGCAGCAGTCACTGAAGACTTTAAACAACAACGATCTTCTTCTTCTAGGTCTTCGTCGTCACCTTGGAGGTTCTCTAAAGAAGCTCCTCGGCTCTCCCTCGATAGCAGAGCCGTCGTGGATGCCAAGGGGTGCCTCAAACCCAGACAGATCCGACCCGATGCGGATGAGAACCTGCGAGGCTCACCCAGCGTGATCGCACGGCTCATGGGATTGGAGCCATTGCCCCTCCAGAGATCTGCATCCGAGTCCAGGGTCTCCAGAGACTACTTATTTGACTTTCAAGATGACAAGGGAGCTGAAGATCCGGCGGCATTTATGAAGCCAGCCAGAGCTCCACCCTTAGTAGTACGCCGAAAGAGTTTCTTCGATTCCCCGGAGCCAAGGCAGTGTGGCCGCGATTTGGAGAGAGTTTCCAAAATGAGTGGATTTGACGACGCTCCCCCGACCGATCTGGAAACCCTCAAGCAGCTTCTCGAAGCTCTCAGGCTCAAAGGACTCTTGCACTCTTCACACAAACATGAGAGCAGGAATCTCGTCTTCGACCATCATCAATCTCCGATCAAACCCATCAGATCTGGTCTAGTAAGGCGGGATCGGGGCACCAGAGGAAGGGGACGGAATTCCCCGAGCGTCAATAGGAGACCAAGACCAACACTCAAGGAACAGAGGAGAGTCGCTCCACTCCCTTGGCGGAGACCAGAACCTCTCCAGTGGAGGATTGAAGACCAGAGTAGCAGCACTCTAGCCGAGGAAACAAATTCTGATGTGCAGAAGTGGAAAGTGGATGTCTATAACAGACAAGGCAAAACCTTATTGGAGAGATGCGACAAGCTGCTCCACAGCATTGCGGAAATGGCGGCGGCGGCTGAGGCCGGAGAGTCACAACCGAGCCCCGTCTCTGTTCTTGACGCCTCAATTTACCACGAGGACTCTTCCCCGTCTCCTGTCATGAAACGCACCCTTGACTTTTCTGCTGGTACTCCCTCAGCTCATCATTGCTCTCTGTTTTTGTGGCGCTAGCTAACTCTTTCAATGTCAAAACTAATTGTTCTTTCTGACAGAATCCGAAGACGAATCCTGGGGTGGCTCAATATTATCATCGTCCGACACTGAATATGTTTACATCTCGGACATCCTCCGAGCCTCAGATTGCCTTTCACAAGAGTCCGACATCTTCTCGTTCCTGGAAAAGCAGCAATACCTCAAAGGTAAATGCACCTCCATAGCCGCAGCTCAGGAAAGACGGCTCATCTTCGACGCAGTGCAAGAGATTGTGGCGCGGGGAAGGAGCTTGCCCCCGTGGAGGATGGTGGCAGAGGCTGATAAGATGCAAGTGATCTGGTCTGAATTTCAAAAGATAAGAGAGAAAAAGTCGTCCACGGATGAAGAGGAGGACCTTGTGGGATACGTGTGCAGGGTCCTCGGAAGAGATCTATCAGAGGACCGATGGCGAGATTGTCATGTGGAGATGTCAGAAGCGGTTCTTGACATCGAACGCCTTGTATTCAAAGATCTCATCGGTGAAACCATACGCCATTTAGCTGCTCTTAACAGGTCCGACTCGCTGCGTAGGAGGCTGCTCTTTTGATACAAACAAACTAGACTAAAATCTCTGACCCACCTACCATGTCTAACCAAACATGAGAGAGTGATAGTTCTTTTGTGTTCTTTTTCTATTATCAATTGAAATGTGTGATTGATCATCCGTGCATAAACTCGCGTCTGTTGTCTAAAACCATACACAGTGCTCCATCCGCTTTTTTTTGTAATTCTGAATCAAACTGCTGCTCGTTTCATTTGTGTGGTACGTTTTTACACTTGTTTACAAGTGTTATGGGCTTCAAGTGGACCGCTTATCTCTAATCAGATTCTACCCCAAGATTCATCTACTTCAGTAGTGGCCCATTCAGACCCAACAAGGCTTTTCGGCATTGACTTTAAGAGTAGAGAGATAAATACGCAAAAGATGCCAAGGCAGTAAGAGAAGCGGATCATCCAACACTAGTCTCTTTCTTTGAAAAACAGAATCATATAATAATATCTTCTACACGGTAGAAAACGAGACAGGTAGACAGACACATCACACACACACTTTTATTTTTTTGGATAGAAAAAAAAAAACGTTAATGGGAACACAGCCACGTGAAGGTGGGAAGAACGCACCAATTAGAGTGTAAGCAGACAAGTCAGCAGAGAGGTCACAGTCGTGGACCAGTCCACTTCCAACACCACCACAGCCGTCCCTTCGACACTTTGGCTGACAAATGTTCAAAGGTAAAAATATGATATTGGGACCAAGATTTTGCTTGGGACAAGCTATGCCCCACGACTCTCCCGCTAGTGCTCTCTGGTCGCTTCTCCTCTGCTTCTAGAGACCAACCATTTCCACCAACTCTGTTTTCAGTTCACACACCTCATTCTGCAATGCCCACCACCGCACCAATGGAGTTGAGAAGAGCCCAACTTCTTTCTTCACTTTGTTCAGAACTGGACTGGTCAAACCATCATCTCTCTCTCTGACCCTACCCCTACACCCGAGATTTCTAATGGGTGCACAATCTTCACTGGGCCACCTTTTGTCACCCGTCTCTCTTTTCTTTTTTAATCCTACTCCTCCATAACATTATACCCTTCTGGTTACTATTTGAAGAATGATCCTAATCTTGAAGAAACTGAACGTAACTCTTTGCCAAAGAGATCGTAAGTAGTAATGAAAAAAAAAAAGGACCACCCCAGATGATTCTGTCTGAAGAAGCAGTGAGTCCCTCTCTGTTATCCACCTGCCGGATGTTTAGCAAAAGTAAACTAAATCATAATATAAAGCTAATCTCATAATAATTGTCTGATCAAAAGAATTTAGGAAAAGAAGAGATGGTTCATTTAGTTTTGTCAGCTAGCTGCAATGGGATCAGTAACAGGAAGACTTACTCATTGGTTGCTTTGCTTTGAGCTGTCACAGCCTATTTTTCTGCGTTACAAGGATTGTGTTGTTGGGGCCCAACATTACTGAAATTGCCTCCTATTTTCCCACAGAGAGCACAAGGATTTTTTTCCCTTCCACGTTCCACCATTCTTTTTTTTTTTTTTTTTTTCTCACAGATGAATCAGGAACAATCCTTTTGCGCTTCATCCGAGTCAAAAGCCTGAAAAAGTGTGGAACACAACCACATATAATACATCTCAGCCTAAAAAGCAATACCATACCTACGACACGACTGGAAAAGAGATAAAAACATATGGGATAAGAGGATATATAAATAAAGGAATCCTTCAAATGGTAAGTTTCAAAGTAAAAGTGTTATTGTATGATCTTGTCTGCCTTTTCTTTGAAAAAGGCAAGATTGTGGGTGTAACTGTTATCAAAAGATATTAAAAAAAAAAAAAAGATTCGTGAGATCTTTCTTTCTTGTGACTTTTTCCTTCAACTAGGCTCCTGCTTTATGGTTTCTCAACTATAAAGTGAAAATTTCTAAAGCTATTTATAACCCTTTGCTAGACAGTCAGTCCCCATTCGGATTCTCACAACCAAAAAGATTGGTTGCCTCGGCCATTCAGAATCACACAACTTTTTCCATCTTTGGTTTCTATACTCTCGTCTCTCAGAAACCAAGAAGAGGCCATATGAGCTATCTCCTCAGGAAAAGAACCATGCTTATAGTAAGAAGCTTCACCATCTTGCTTCTCAGCTGCATAGCCTTTAAGCTGGCTTGCTGCTTCTCTAGCAGCATTTCTTCTTTGAAGGCGCTTCCCCTAGTTGGCCACTTGGAGTTTGAAGATGTCCATCACGCCTCCAGAGATTTTGGGAATCGATACCAGTTGATTCCTTTGGCGGTCTTACATCCCAAATCGGTAAGCGACATCGCCTCAGCGATACGACACATCTGGATGATGGGCCCTCATTCACAGCTTACGGTGGCAGCGAGAGGCCGTGGACATTCACTCCAAGGCCAAGCACAGACAAGACATGGAGTTGTTATACACATGGAATCACTCCATCCCCAGAAGCTGCAAGTCTACAGTGTGGATGCTCCTGCTCCATACGTTGATGTGTCTGGTGGTGAGCTGTGGATAAACATTTTGCATGAGACCCTCAAGTACGGGCTTGCACCAAAATCATGGACGGATTACCTACATTTAACTGTAGGTGGTACTCTGTCCAATGCTGGAATCAGCGGCCAGGCATTCCGACATGGACCACAAATCAGCAATGTTCATCAACTGGAGATTGTCACAGGTTAGCTCAGAGTAGATAAAAAAAAAAAGTTGCAGTATTCGTGTTTTGAAAGCATAGACTATATATATGGTTGGTGACTATTAACATGAAAGCCTAAAGAGATTTCCGAGAAGAGCTACTCACTAATGTCATGCCTATGGACTGCAGGAAAAGGCGAGATCCTAAACTGTTCAAAGAGGCAGAACAGCGACTTATTTGATGGTGTTCTTGGTGGTTTAGGTCAGTTTGGCATCATAACGCGGGCAAGAATAGCATTGGAACCAGCACCAACCATGGTAACCAAAAAAAACATAGTCGCTTAAAAACTGTAGACGTATGGAAACTCACTCTGTATAATGGACAGGTAAAATGGATAAGAGTGTTGTACCTGGATTTTTCAGCTTTTGCCAAGGACCAAGAGCAACTAATATCTGCAGATAACAAATTCGATTACATAGAAGGGTTTGTGATAATAAACAGGACAGGCCTCCTGAACAACTGGAGGTTATCCTTCACCCCGGAAGAGCCTTTAGAAGCAAGCCAATTCAAATCTGATGGAAGGACCCTGTATTGTCTGGAGCTAGCCAAGTACTTGAAGCAAGATAACAAAGATGTAATCAACCAGGTGAGAAAACAGAGTAGAAGCAATCGTAGAATCTTCTTTGGTAGATGACATTGGAACTGAATATTTTTGTCCAATCCAGGAAGTGAAAGAAACGTTATCAGAACTAAGCTACGTGTCGTCGACACTGTTTTCGACGGAGGTAACATATGAAGCATTCTTGGACAGGGTACATGTGTCTGAGGTAAAACTTCGATCGAAAGGGCAATGGGAGGTGCCACATCCATGGCTGAACCTGCTGGTACCAAGAAGCACAATCAAAGAATTTGCAAAAGGTGTATTCGGAAACATACTAACGGATACAAGCAACGGGCCAGTCATCGTATACCCAGTGAACAAATCAAAGTAAGAAAGAAAGAAAGAGCTAAAGATGATGATTCTCTTTTTGTTTCACAGCTTAGTTAGTAGTTGACCCAAAAAAAGCATTTTTGGTGGTGAGCAGGTGGGACAATCAAACATCAGCAGTAACACCGGAGGAAGAGGTATTCTATTTGGTGGCGATCCTGACGTCGGCAGTCCCAGGGAAGGAGGATGGAGGAGGAGTAGAACAGATATTGAAGCGGAACAGAAGAATACTGGAATTCAGTGAAGAAGCAGGGATAGGGTTGAAGCAGTATCTGCCACATTACACAACCAGAGAAGAGTGGAGATCCCATTTCGGGGCCAAGTGGGGAGAGTTCGTGAGGAGGAAATCGAGATATGATCCATTGGCAATACTGGCGCCTGGCCAGAGAATTTTTGAAAAGGCTGTCTCATACTCATGACCCGTCGTCGTCTCGTGCGTGGAACAAAGAAAGATGCATGTCGTTGTCGTTGTCGTTTGTTCCTACTCTATATAAGTAAACATTGTACATACTGAAGATGAAGAAGAAAGAAACGCAACCACTGGTATGGGCTCTAACGATGTGGGCTTCTTTATTTATACTCTTTTCACTTTCTTTCAGGCCCAATAGACCCCTTATGTGCTCCATTACAAGACGAAAAGATTCCAAGCCGTTATCTTTTGTCCCACTGCATTTCTTTTGTTTTCTTACCACGATACGACCAAGTCCAAAAAAATAAAAGAGAAAGCTACTCTATTTTACTTTTGTTGTAAGCTGATGATGTGAAAATATCCCTCTCTCTATCTTGCAGTAGAAAAGTAACCAATAACTTGTTTTTATAACAGTGATAAACGACAACACACTTTGAGTCTTCTTGATATGTTCCCTCAAAGTGATTACAACTTAATTAGCATAGATGTATGTATATATGATTGAGGGATACCAAAAAAAGACAAGCCTACCTTTCTTTTTCTGGTGATTTATCAGTCTCTTCTTGTGATATTATATATTAAGATCGCCTGTGGGCTGTGGTCCATTCCATAACATTCACGGACTCATTTACTAACACTCTTGTTTAATGAACGGTACAAGAAACAACCTTCCCCCACGTCTCACTACTTGCTCATCACTTTTTTTTTTTGTGGTTAATCTTCTCTTCCTGCAATGACATGCCAAAGGACTTTTTTTACATTGGGATACATATAATCTCTTCCATTTTCATATTACTATAACCAAATTTACTCCTCTCTCTCTCTCTCTCTCTCAACAGCCTACCTACCACTGGTAACTGGTTAGTTGTTTTGAATAGGTTTAGATCCCAACGCGACATGTTGTTGGTCCGCTGCTGCCCTGTGATATCCCCATCATTGATAACCTCGGCATTTGGCAGTTGAAGGACTTGAGAGAGTCTTTCAATGTACTTGTACTAGACTCATCATCATCAAAATACGGCGACGACAAGCGAGAACCGTTTGTGTCTGCACACTCTTCAAACTCGAGACAATGCTGTGTGGGTGATGCAAATGGGCTATCTACCAGCCTATCATCCTCCAAGCTGAACAACCGGAAAACAAAAATATACATACTCAGATGATCTTCTTCAAGCTCACTAAAACGACTATCAAACTGGGAATACCTCTCTGGAAGTTTGATTGCAACCTCATCATTCTCTTTGGTACACACTCTCTGGTTTCTTGAAACTGCCAGCAGGAGAGAGCGATCAGGTTATCACACATGTCAGACAAGCATAAATTACTTAAATCAGAGCAAAACCGAACCTAGTCGTGGAGAAACAAATGTTTGGTCGAAACTGAGTTGAAACTGTTTCTTGACGTCTAGAAGCTGCAGATTCATCAGCCTCGTGCTCTGAAGCTCAAGAGCTCGCTCTTCAAACCTCCTTTTCCACAACAGATCTTGGGTGTTGTCATGAAAAGCCCTCCCTCCTACACACAAAGCAATCAATACCAACCCAACTCTTAGGAGAAAAGAAAGAAAGAAAGAAAGAGAGCTTTATACCAAGCTGGAAATCCATAATGTCCCTGGAATCAAGGCCGGTCGCAGATGGCTTAGTCCTGCACAAGAGGAATCAAAGCGTCATAAATACATGAGGAATCAGGAGCAGCTCAAGGAGGAAGAGCCAAAGTACCTGTACTTGTCTGGGACTTTGCCTTTCTCCTTGTAAGGCTTAACAAGAACCCTGGAATCACACACAAAGTGAGGGTTCCCTTTGGCCAGAATGCTCTTCACCGTATCTGGGTACATGAAGGTCACGAACCCAAACATCCTCTTCTGCTGGAACGGTATCCTCACGTCCTGAACTGGCCCAAAGTACTGCACCACCATGCTGTAGCGCA